ATAAAAAATTATATCTTTATGTTTGAAGCCTGAAATGTGGCAAAAGGTTGAAAAGTTCAAGGGGGCCGAATACTTTCGCAAGGCACTGTAAATCCACATGTGCTTAACTGGATGTAAAAGCTAATTACTGTAGCCTACCATAGAGTGACACATTGTAATATACCATTAAGAGATATAAGACAGCTTTTTACCTGTTTATATAGTTTATTCTACTTCTGTTGTATGTTTGAAATACAAAATAATACAGGTGTTGTTTAGTAAAATCACAGCTTCACACAACAAACTCCTTATGGTCCTATGTTGATACGGAGTTAGATACTCTCAGATACTTCCCTAACTGCACGTTTGTGCTACAAAATCCTGTAAGCGGTAAAATAAAATAAAATTCTGTTTTGAAAAACAAATTAAAAACCTTTATAGTAGTACATGCATTGCTTTGACTGGACATGAATAAGGAACTGGTTATTGGACAGGAAACACAGGCTGCAGATAAAGGGTGAATATTCAAATTCAGGGGGTTTTATTATATGTTATTAGGTAACCACAGGAATGTACAGTATCTGACCACTGCTTTTCCTAATGTATATTAATTATCTATTTTTTGGTTGTAGCCAGTAAATCAGTTTGTATTGTAGATTATGCCACACTAAGTGGGGAGTACTGAATGTAGGCAGCACAAATATACACCATACATAAGTAAGCTGTAACTGTGCTGTATTGTAGTGTGAGGGCAAGGTCTTACCTTTCTTGTTCTTCTCCTTGGTGACCACAGTCATAGACATGGTGGGATGAGGGGAGCTCTCTGTCCCAGGAAGTGGAAGCCGGCTGACCTGCAGTGATCGGAAGGTGCACTTGAGGGTGTTTTTAGAGGACGAGTCTCTCTTCTCCACCTCTCTCTTCCTCTCCAGCGGAGACACCCAGTAATCCACCTGGAGCCCCATCAGCTCTCCCTGCCCAGATCCTGGGGACCTGCAGGAGCACAGTTCAAAGACATGGGGGGAGGGAGAGAGGAACTTGTCACTGCAGCTGCTAGGAGCTAGGCAATGCAGTAAAAATACAAATGGCATACTGCTATATGCTGTCCAAGTATGTATTGCTATTTTCCAATGAATGCTACTTAAAAATATTATGAAAAACAAAGCATGATAACATAATCTCTTCTCTTGTTAGGTGAAGCGGAGTTATTCATTTTCCCCAATGTTCAGACTAGTCAGTAAAAAATCGTGCACCTTAACTGATTTTCAGATTTAAAGTCCACAGAAACACATAAGGCAAAAATATACATAATCACCACCACACTGGTTACATTATAGAACAAAGTTTTTTTTTCAGCTCAATTAGGCCAGGTCTTATTATACATGATAAATATACTATAAAAATAAAATGACTTTTGTCTCTACAAAGACGCAGAGTTTTAGAATCCCAGAAAGTAAAGCTTTTAATATTAGCATTTGTACCATCTGCTTTTTTTGTGGTTTCCAAATTTAAACATTTATTTGCACAAATGGCAAGAAAAACATTTTGAGCACTGTTACAAATTGTTACAAGTCTGTCGAAGTTCTAACTAGAGGTTTACAAACTCAAACTGTATTTTTCAATCGTCAAGTGTAGCTTATTTTTATGCAGCAAAATTATTTTTTGCATTTGGCAATATTAATGTGCATAAAGAATCAGCCCAGCACTTCTAAACCTGTGTACAAAAACAATAGCCTATTTAGCAAAATATTTGTTATTTCAAAGGTTTCAGTTTAAGTTAGTTCTTGTCATAGACATATGATCAGTACATAAGAACAGCAACTAAGGAGATTTAAAAAATGGCTGATACAAAAGGCCAAATGAAGAATTCTTAAGACAGTTTTATCTGTGGTAATCTTGTGGTTGGACAAACAGCATTTCATTCTAGAGCACATACATAGCGCCCTCCAGATATATTCATACCAGAACTAAACAGGAACACAAAATGTCACAGAACACAATTATATACAGATAAGATAATGTGTGTTACTTAAAAATGTCAGAAATGTTAAACAATATTCATAATAGCACAGTGGAGAGCAAAGTTATATTTCATTATTTCAATAAATACCTGAATTCAAGAAAATAGGAATTACATGTATATCTCTCTACACCTCTTACACCTATTCCTTACACTTTCCTCTACACCTACTCCTTTAAATATAATCTAATAAAAGCAAATCTACATTAGTATTCTGCTCTTTATAAGTGCAATGGAAGCCTTGGAAACAATATAGGGGCCTGAAATTGTTTTCTGTTTCCCAGGGGTATGAAAAGAAAGTAACACAGGAAAGACAGTAGAATCCTCAACAGGGTCAGAGATATCTCCAATAATTGTAGGTAAATGGTCCTTGATGTCCCCAGGTTGGGAATTAGCTAGCAAAGAATCCAAAAAAGCTGAATTCACCATTTTCCATATTATTGTGCATTATTAAGACATTTAAGTCTACTACAGTATGGCCACTCTGCCATGTAAGAGGATGTAAGTGCATCTTTCTTCCACTGGCTCAGAGACAAGTGGTTTAGCAGACAGCAATAAATCCAAAGAAAACAGCTGGAGGTTTTCAACAAACTGTCCTTGTCTTGACAGAAAGTCCCAGAAACTACAGTACCATTTGACATCACCTGCATAAACATGGCATTCATGGCGGGATTGCAATATAGAAGCCTTTGCCGAATTCGGACAACTAGTAGAGGCAACCTCAAATTTGCCAAAGAATATCTTAGTGGCAATTTGAAGTTGATCTTATGGTCAGATAACATGAAAATTTGACTTTCTGGCCCTGCTCATTGACATTATGTTTGGTGTAAACCCATTCAAGGCCACTGCAGAGGTTCTGTTATGTTTTGGATTCATTGTGCCTTCAAGGGTCCTGAAGCTCTTGTTCAGACAGGGCTAATCATGACCTCCATCACGTACCAGGCCATTTTAGCAAAACATTGTGCCATGAAGCTCCAGCCTGGCCAAAAATAGTCATTCCAAAATGGCTAGGATAGAAAGCATCATCAGATAAAGAAATGGCTAGCTGCACACAAGACCAAAAGTTCTGAGCTGGCCATCTAAAACTCCAGATCTCGATCCAATCAAACCAGAGGCTCAAAGTCAAGAAGACAGGTTAAAAATGGAAACCAAAGGCCCTGAAGGAGCTAGAGCCATTTTGCCTGGAGGAGAGGTAAAAAATCCACCCACAGCACACTACAGGAGGTGACTCAATGAAATCAACGCCACAATAGGATTTGCAAAAATTCAAACTACAGTTTTCTGGGCTTAAATTATTTATACCAAACATGACTTTCATCTGTGCAAAGCTATTAAGATTACAGAATACCATTTTGTATTTTTTTAAACATTTATAAGGCACAATATGCAGTTCAAAAATATTTTTTGTTCCAGTTTTGCTGGGAGTATGAATAAATCAGATCAGTGATGCAAGTGTGGAAATCTGTTTTGTTTCAAACTGCCTAGTGACGGTTACTTGTATACAGTACATGCTTATATTTTTAAATCTGCATTGGTGTTTACTTTAAGACTAGCATCAATCAACAATGAGCACTATTATTGATTATAGAGCATTGCTCTCATAATGCAGCTCATTATTTAACCTCTACAGTGTCAGTGAAACAGCGTGATAGGAGCCGGGGCTGTAAGCTGTAGCATACCCGTAGGAGCTGAAGCTGGCGTTGATGGAGGGGGAAGAGGGAGGTGTGGGAGAGGCCTCCTTCAGGGCTGGGGACACCTGAGGGGGAGTGGAAGAGAGCAGGCCAGCGGACATGGGGGCTGCGTCATCGGAGTCGCCTGCAGAGAACGAGAGGCAATGCTTACACAGGCCCAGATCAGGGCTGCAGAAAAACACAGCAAGGCAATCATTAAACAAGGCTGGTTCCTCTTCCGTGTCTTGAGTGAACTACAAATGGTGTCTCCTTTATGTAAGATGGGAACATGGTTGATTGGAGGCTTTAATCCAAGGCTTTTTAGATATGCTTTTCATATAACATAAAGCAGAGATACCGTATATGTTGCGATATATTTTTCCTTGGTAATGTTTTATTAGGAACTATAAAAATCTAAGCATGTTTCACAATATGATAACATTCTTAATACAGACTCCCTATTATTAAACAGCACCTTAATATTTTCTAAGGGTTTATATTGACTTACTTTTATTTAAAGTCTTTGAATCAACCTTTCATTTATGCCCTTATTAATTACCCTATCGATTGGAATCTTAAAACGTTCTGATTAATACATCTTGATTCTCTATGAGGTATACAGGTAGCTGAAGGTAGTCCAGCCTCAGACAATACTCCTTGGCCTTCCACCTCAGTACAGAGTGGCCTCCAGTAACTCAGAAGAGAGTTCCTTTCCCACGCCCTCAATTCAGCATTTCAGGACCATCAAGCCTTCCAAAAACAAGGAAACAGGTGATGTGATCTCACCTGATGTGGCAGACGACTGCTCCACAATCCCCACTTTGACAACCTGAAAAGCAAACAAGTCCAAAAAGTAAGAGGACTGTAACTGGTAAATGAGGGATTTCCCGACCACGCATTCAGTTAACTCAATGGACTTCCTCAGAATCAACAAAAAAAACTCAGACCAGAGGAGGGGGAATCGACAGTGCATTTACAAGAACAAGAGGTATTGTTTTTCACACACAGTTGTGAAAATCTGGAAAATGCACATTGCTGAAGCTGGAACTCCAGCTTCCTTCAAGAAATATCTGGATATGATCTGTGGACAATTAGTTGCCAAACTAATTCTAAGATCTGAAAAAAGTACTGAAAATATCAATTGATTACAATTATTTTTGTGTCATAAATGTAAAATAAATCAGGAAACACTCAGAAGAAATCAAGACTAAGCACCTTCCTATATACAGTATAGCCTCATTTTCCAATATGATATGCTCTTTCTACAGTAGGTAATTCATTGTTAGTGATATATATATATAGTATATCAATTCACCAGGTGTCTGTGGCTACACCATTTAAGAGCTTTCAAGGTTAAGTCTAAAGGTTGTGGGAGATCCATCTTCAGGAGGACCTACAGACATTAACCACCTGATAGCTGGGTCTTTGTATCTTTTATAATCTGAGTCAGAATATAACAGTATCGAGTATCTCTAGGCCACTGTTTTGGCCACACCTTCCCTCTCCACTTTGCCTATCCGGTTTCCCCTTCTCACTAAACCATAACTGGGTTCCTTCCAGCCTGAATTCTAGTTACTCCATGTTAGTTGCTGAGGTGCTGTTCCAGGCCTAACTGTTATCTGCACCCAATGGAGGAACAACCTACGTGCCACTGTCAGAACCACAGACTCATTCCCCATCTTGCAGAAGAAATTGTAAATTTTTGCTTCTCTTCAGGATATATCTGACCTACATGGAAACGAGTTGAAACAGGTCCCTCTTTTACTCCTGCATTTCAATGCCTGTGCTTACTTCTTCTCTAAATCATCCTTAATCACCTGCCAGTGCATTAAACTGACAGATGCAGCTCAGAGAGACTGTCAGAGAGACAAAGTAAAAATTAAGTCATGAATCAGGAAAGAAAAGTCACTTACTCCAATGAATGGGATGAATTTCTGGCAGGAGTCTTCATCAGGGCTGAATAGATGCAGCAAAGAACAAAACAAGACAAAAGCAAAGCTAGACATTAAATACACTGAGACACATCCCTGCCTTATCCCTTCCTCTTCTTCATCGAAGTTCCAGAGAGCCACAGAAAAGTACCATCTTTTTGGCCTGAACATTCACACATTATGAAGGGTGTGTGATAACATGTACTGTACATACTGAGGCTATTCAACCAAGGGTGACTCAGCAACCTTTTTCTTAACAGGAGTCTAAAACATCTGAACAAGCACAGCTCTATTCCCTATAGATCATTGTTTTACCAACTTCTGCCAACCAGAATCTGTACTGGCAGAAAGACGTTATTTTTAAGAATTGTTTAAAGAGAATGACAGCCGTTTTAGATTGTAGTATATAATTCTCAAGATCTCTGGAAATCTGCACTTGATAAACTGTCTTAAATCACTTCTTTTCCAGAACATGGTCCCAAAGTCATTGACAAATTAATATTGTGATTCAGGTTTGCAGCCCAACAGAATTAGGAGGTAAATTTCTGCAATTTCCTAGTGCAGTAAAACACCTGTTTCTTTCTCTGATAAACTGTATTCTTTAACTTTTTTGGAGCAGGAGTGACCAGCCAAGATCCAAGACAGCCAATCTTTTGTTGTAACCAAGCTTTAGATACTTAATTCTTGGCTTTGAAATGAATTTCTCAAAATAACCAATTATTATTAATCTCTTGCCAATATTTATTACTTGATAATTTACCGTTAGCTAGAAAATCACTAGGACTATGGCTCTTTGGAAAGAACACTCCACCCCTACACTACAGTATTTCAGGGCGATCTGAGAAGTTCCTCAGTGCCAAAATTGTGAACCATCTACATAAAGAGAAGAACATGCACAACACAGTCTCAGCCTCTCAGCCCAGCTTTACATTCTGTCAGCCAGCCAGCAGCAAGATGCAAACTTTCAGTAGAATAAATGAAGAAGACTGTAATACCAGCAAAGTGACTGTACTGTATAAAAACCTGTAACAGTGAAGCAGATGCACATTCCAGCAACCTGTAATAACCAGTTTCTGTCAAGGAATTATATCAGAACTACATACTGCAGGTCTTTGATAGTTTTTTGGAGAGGAAACCTTTGAAGAAGCAGTTAAAATGTTGAATTGCAACATCAAAACCTTGCTATTTTTGCTTTATTTCGCAAACTTACTGTTTGCAATCATGAGGTGCAAAGGTGAGAAGAATGAAATAATGTTTTAGTTTTGGGTAATTCCACACATACATTTGATCATATTAGAATACAAACATACTGTACTTTACACTCAATCAAGTGAATTCAAGTATCGGAACACATTCACTTTAAGTAAATGTCAGAATTATAACAGTATTTGGCTGCATATTCCCTTGAGGCTATTACTGCATTAAGTCTGTGACCCATCAAGCTCACCAAACTCCTTGTGTGATCACCTGAGATGCTGTGGTGCTTCCACTTTGAGGTCTTGACTAATTTTGGAGTGTTCTGACTGAAGCAGCCATACATGTGTTAGTTCAGGTGGGTAGTATGGGTAGTATGACAGCATCTCCACCATGCTTCTGAATTTGCTTGGAAGTACAATGCTGAACCAGGAGGGTTGCGGTTCAAGGTTTCATGGATAGATGGACCACACTGATCTGCAAATACTCCAAAGGGAACAACCTCAACTATGAAGTATGGCCTAAACATAAATGGCTCCTCTGGAACTGGCTTACTTCTTATATAGCTAATGACGGAAGCAGCAGAATGAACGGAAGTTTACAGAAAATTGCGTGCTTACGTAGACAAAACTGCTACCATACTTATAAGGCAGGGCTTTACCATTGGAGCATGACAATGACACAAAACATATGGCTTGTACAACCAAGGAGATCATTAGGAGAGAAAGGGCATTAGGAGGGGCACAATATTAGACTTGCAAAGTCAATTTAGAGGTTTAAACCCAAGAATGGATTTTATTTACGTGCTGAATAAAACAAAATATTTAAAAGTCAGAACACTCCTAGGATAAGCAAGAACTCAAAGTGGCTGCAGCTAAACACTGAGTTGTAATCACCTGATGACAGCTCAATCAGCGGCAGGCTTTGTGCAGTTCTTTCCAAGGGAGATATACAATCAAATATTGGCTTTTACACTCTCCAATTTACTTAAAGTCAATATGCCTGCATGTTTATGGTCAATTGAAATCATTGGGCTAAACAAAGTAAATTTTTGTTCTTGTCAATGTATGCTTGGAATTAACCAAATAAGAACTGTTTATTGTTGTTATTATTTACATCACACTAGATCACAAATGCAAGTGTTTTGATTGGAAAACAAAAACAACAGTTTTGACACTGCAATCCCAGCACTTTTGAAAGACACTGTCTATATTGACATGCTTATTGTATATACACTGGCAGTCAAAATTTTGGGGATCTTTGATCCTAAAAAGGATGTAACAGGATAAGCAACTGACAAAATTGTAAAACAGGTAAACCTTCTCAAATATGAAAATTTGTTGATAATAACTTTCTATAATCTCTTAACAAACAGTCCCTATTTGTTCCAATTTCAGCTGCAGATACTCGTGGGTATTCCGTTACACTATACTGTTTCTCTACATTAGCCAGCAGCCACATCACCCTGCAACTCACAACTGGCAACCCACTGAAGCTAAGCAGGTGTGAGCCTGGCCAGTACCTGGATGGGAGACCTCCTGGGAAAAACAAAGGTTGCTGTTGGAAGAGGTGTTAGTGGGGCCAGCAGGGGCCAGCAGGGGGCGCTCACCCTGTGATCCATGTGGGTCCTAATGCCCTAGTATAGTGATGGAGACACTATACTGTAAACAGGCACCGTCCTTCGGATGAGACATAAAACCGAGGTCCTGTCTTTCTGTGGTCATTAAAAATCCCAGGGTGTTTCTCGTAAAGAGTAGGGGTGTAACCCCGGCGTCCTGGCCAAATTTCCCATTGGCCCTTACCAATCATTGTCTCCTAATAATCCCCATCTATGAATTGGCATCATTACTCTGCTCTCCTCCCCACTGATAGCTGGTGTGTGGTGAGCGTTCTGGCAGCACTATTGCTGCTGTCGCATCATCCAGGTTGATGCTGCTAGTTGGTGGTGGTGGAGGGGAGTCCCCATTATAGCACCATTATATTCTGGACACCCCATTTGAGTGGAGTGTCCAGAAAAGCGCTATATAAGTGTAAGCAATTATTATTATTATTATTATTATTAAGCACAGACATTAGGCCATTATAGGCCATAGCCTATAAAGCCTGCTGGCACAATATTAAATGCCATTCCAATGCCACGCATGCGCCACACTCTAGGGATGGTGATATGTGGGTAAAGAGTATGTTTTTCAATGTGTTAAGGACCCTACACAAAAATAAGATAAATCCACATAAAAAGTTTAACTACAATAAGAAAGAAATAGAAGCAGAAATATGCTTGTGCTGGATGCTGCACATTGGTGGTGGTGGAGGGGAGTCCCCATTATTTGTAAAGTACTTTGAGTGGAGTGTCTAGAAAAGAGCTATATAAGTGTAAGCAATTATTATTATTATAAGCTACTGATGTACAGTACCAGTCACGCCAGCTCCCTCACCACATTGCCCAGCTAGTGTGAGTGACCATACCAGAACAATTAAAAAAGGAATGCAACAATAAAGTTATATAAAAGCAAAAAGCAATAATGCTCTTGTAGATGCTTGGAACTGAGCACGTAGCAACAGACAGCAATACACTGTTAATAACTAGTGACAGAGTGCCTAGAGTACTGCAGCTGTGATTGTCAAGGAGGGTTATTTTGTAGTAAAATGAGAGCATGTTTCTTTGAACAAAGAGCAGGAACTTTTCAAGCAAATGAACTCTTTATGTATAATACATGCTACCCTTCCTAGCAGTGTTTCAATAGGACTCTCCTGGTGATTTTGACCACCAGTGTATTTAAATAAATAAAATGCAAACATGATGAAAAATCTGGCATTCACAGCACTGCCCAAGAGTTGAGAAGCAGACAAACGCCATTCACAGTGCAGGAGGAGGATAAGAGAGGATCCAGAAAGAAACACCCAGAAAGAGGACAGTACATGAAACAGCCTTTAACCTCCAGCCAGTCGTTTAACCAACACATCTACTGTACAGTGTCTGCTGTTGTCCTTCATTAAAAACAGATGTGTTCATCTATCAAAAATCTACTAAATGACAAGTAAAAAACAGTGCAGCTTTCTTTAACATTTGAGCTATTCCCACTGGAGATACTGTATGCCCAGTCCTGATCAGTGCAAATACAATCAAATACAGACAAGTGCAAATACACTTGGAGACTTACAAGTCCCTTCTGGCTTGCAGGCCATCTTAGCTCTCAAAGCATACAACCACTTTGTTGTGCCAGACTTAGAAGGTAAGTAGGCACCCAAAATGGGTACTAGATATGCAACTGAATTATGAATTCTGACTCTCCTGGCCCCCAGATTGAATCGGTCCTGCAATAGGAACCAGGTAGTGAGTTCAGTGACACAGTCTAGGTGAGAGCCAACTGTTACTGTACTGTGAAACTCTTTCAGCTCATGAGAACGAGTCACTGAGAACCTTTAAAGCCAAAATGCATTAAAGACATTTTTACACCAAACTACCTACAGTAGGCACCATAAAAATGACAGTAAAAAAGTAAAAAAAGAATAAAAAACTGTTATGATTCCGTAGCAGCTGTAACATGGGATAATTCCTTGTGGTTTTCAGTAAAGTTTGTTAAATGACTTTATCTTAATTAAATTAAATTTAATTTTATAAATTGCGTGCTTAAGTGTGAAGAGACAAGGGAGACACCTGGGAAGTGAGATAAAAATATCTTTTTTGTATTTTTGCAAACTATGCAGTCTAGTGGCTTGAAGTCGGCTTTCCACCCAAAAATATAAATGTGCTACCTGTCCTTGGTCAGTAGGATAAAAGGGCATGCATGAGGTAAACTGGCTGTGTGCACAGAACATATGAAAGGAACTAACTTTTGTCTACTCTGCAACTTAGATATGATTAATAACCATATAGGGATGTGTTGTTGTCTTCTCATTCGTTCAGAATATGTCATAGTAACTTGTTTATTTCACAGTATAAAAGATCATCTTTAGTTACTTATTTTTGAGTTAGGTGGTTACAAACCGTTCTTCCATATGCATATGAAGAGACTTCTACTACACAGTCACTTGGACTTTGTCATTTGAATGACACAACAGGCGTATTGAAACCTAGAAGGACCAATGGCTGTTGGGGATCAGAGTGTGTGAACTTTGCTTTCTTGGATTTTTTTCAAATCTTTCTATCTTAGCTTAAGTTTTGTTTAGAGTCCAAGAGCGTTCACACAAGAATCAGGTTCAGACATGAATCAACAGTCTGCAAAAGGACAAAAAATACATTACAGGCACAAGTGATGGTTAAACTGGCTGATAAAGACTGTGGAGGCAAGAACCATCCCAAACAGAGCAAATTAATGACACAATACAATGAGACTCAAGCAGACAACAGTACCTTACTGCAAAATCAAAATGAAAGCTCTTTTTCCTTGAAAGAAAACACACAAAAATAAAAATAAACAACAAGAAACACAAGTGTTATTAACACACAATAAGGACACGCAATGTGGTCTGCGTGAAAGATTTTTCCAGCACAATCCAGCTACCAACAGCACTAAAAACCCACCAAACACCATTCATACAACCCTTCATGTTGTTCCTCATGCGATGTGTAGTACTTGGCTGTTCTTTTCAAGGTACAGTAAACATATCCACCCAAAGCAGGGACCTCCACACCTGGTCCAGGAGAGCACCAATCCAATACATTTTAAAGGTCACCCTAAATCACTCTTTTCTAATGACTGGAAATGACTTGTAAATGATTGATTCAAAACATTTTGTCCAATTAAGAGAGCTCTTGCCCTTGAGGATAGAAAACTTATTCCGAATGATAAGTAAATGGGACGGCACGGTGATACAGTGGCTAGTATTGCTGCCTCATAGCGCTTCGGCCCTGGGTTCAATTCTGGATCTGGGGTACTATCTGCATGGAGTTATTCCTGTGTTTAAATTATCTCTGTGTGGTCCAGTTATCTCTAACAGTCTAAAGACATACTGTACTGGTAGTTAGGCTTCTAGAAAGATTAGCTCTGGTGTACTGTATGTGTGGGTGTGTGTTTATGTCCATGTGTGCCCTGCAATGGACTGGCATCTCGTCCAGGTTGTGCCTCGCCTTGCACCCTCTGCTTGCCAGGATAGGCTCCAACTCCTCTGTGACTCAGAATTGGTTAAAGTAGTGAAATGGATAGATGGTTAAGTAAACGTGTTTCATACCAAGTGTAGCGGCGGCTGCGCAAAATTTAAAAAGCATTTAAGGAAGAGTGACTACAGTTATCTACAACACCTGCTGGATTGGAGCTCTCCAGTAGCAGGGCTGAAGATGCCCACATTTAATTATGGTGTAGATCATGGATGGTTAACTCCAGTCCTGGCGAGATGCAGCGCACTCTAATTTTCATCCCACTTCAGACCCTAGATTACCTAACTGAATTATTTGGCTAACTAATCAAATGCTAATAGGAAAAACCTACAGATTTCGTGACCCTCGATCACTGGAGTTGTCCGTCTCAAGTAGAGATTCTTCTTTGACTCATATTTATAATAATATTTGTAATTTGGGTCATACTGTAATAATAATTCCTTACATTTAAATAGTACTTTTCATCCCAAAGGATCTCAAATTGCAATACATATGGGAGGGAACCCACTTCATCCATCACCGAAAAATGCAGTCACAGCCATTCTGCACCAGCACCCTCCATACACAGTTCATCAGATGGAGAAACAAGAACAAGAAATTACTTCACCAATGTGAAGTACTGTATGCAATCCCCTTATACAACACTGCACTAATTCACCTTCAGTGGCTTTGCCAAGTTCAATGATTGTTAGTTTTCTAATCAGAGACTGTGGCTGCTGGATTTCAACAATCAGTCTAGACCAGGTGTTTCTGAATACTGGTTCTAGTGCAAGTAATTCAGATTGAACATATTAATTCTATTACAATTACAATTAATTACATATTAATATAACATTTCACTGCTGTATTCGTTATATCTTTTTCTAAACAAATTTAGTTTCTTAAGAAGGAGGTTTTCTCTTTTTAGAGTTCTTTGCATGTATTGTGTTCCTTTTGGATTAAAAGCACTATATAAATGCAAAGAGTTATAACTGTTGGCAAACTTCTGACTTGTACACATGGCAATTAATTGTGATACATTTTTGGTGGGCATAAACATTTGTGCTGCAAAATTCTTAAGAATTCCCCAAATCTCACAAAACAAAATCAAATGTGAGGCATTTTGCTTAAACTACCATTTTAAACTGAAATTGCCTTAACCTCTGCGGTAAACTGCTTCACCCCTTGTTCTACAAAGTTTATACTGTATGTGGTGTGTTGGAGGAAGAGTGAGGCAACGGAAAACACATTTTGACATCAAAAGACATCAAAAGTACTTATGAATTGAATTAAAAAAATAAATGAGCAAAGTACATTCTGAAAACACATATTTATAAAAAACAACAGTAATAAACCTGACTTGATTTCTAATCAAGATCTGAACGCTACTGTGATTAAAAGGGTTCGACTCCCACAGTCTGCTCAGAGTGTGATCACATGTGACATGAGCATGGGTTTTGTGTTTGCCACTCTTTGGCTGCCAATTGTTTCCGTTCTATCTACATGATTTGGAATAGCCAAACTTTTTAGTTTTTTTGTTACCTTCCACATCCTGGATCACAACTACAATCCTTGAGGCCAGGAGGGAAGCACATTTTTGACCTGACCATGTTGAGCCAATAGGCTGCACATACTCCACATGTTCACGCCTGCTAGAGCCAGCTAGGCTGCAGGGGCTGGTGAATTACCAAGAACCAAGAGCACCCAGGCAAACTAATCCCACCCTTCTCCTGGCTCTCGGGGTGTTCAACCAGTTATGCACAGATGCTTGGGGAATCCTGGTCATGGTCACCACATACATTTTTAGAGTGCTAAAAAAATTGGAGTGCATAAAAACAGCTGGCTAGCACCTCAGAAAAGAAATGGATGGCTTTTACATTCTCACCTCATGAATTTTAGCCTTCAATCTGACCCTGCTCCCCAATTTGTGTTTATTTACAGGTTCTGCGGGGGAGAGAGGGCACCTAAGCCTTACCTCTTCTGTTTGTAAGTGAGCATAGCCTCCGCAATGGGCAGCTGGTGAGCTCCATTCGCACCCACCATGTACTGAGTGACCCTGAACGCCACGTCAGGACCATCCTGCACTGCAAGACAGAGAGCACGCACACATCTCACTCACCAGGCAGACTGGGGGAGAGACCACCAGCCCTGGTGCCAGAAAGCCCCAGTCCTTCAGGTTACGCAGGTCTCCTTAATTAACTGCAAAGAGCAGCTGACTCAAAGGAGTGATTGAGAGCTCAGAGAGCTGAGCTCCCCCAAACTAGAGCATCAACACACAGATAGACCTCCCAGAGAGAGTGACTCCCAGCCAACAGTACATCAGATCTTGCAAATTAATCAGCACTTTCACTTTCAAAAACTTGTTTTAAGTTTCACTTTCTACTCTTTAAGTTCCATTTACTGAATTGATTTCAAGTTCAAGTTTAGTGTCATTATACTCATATTCAGGTATATGGTATAACGAAATGCTATTTAGCTAGCTCTCAGACGATAAGTAGTACAAAAAAACAACAATACAATTGTATAATAAAAGAAAGACAGAGACAACAGGCAGTGTGCAAAATAACAAAAGGTAACAGGTAATGTGCAAAACAACATCAGATGTGCAAAAACATACATCAACAGAATGAAATAAAGGACAGAAAATTATGGGGAGTGAGCTTTTTGACATGTGAGGTAGAGGTAGATTTCAATGTGTGTTTGAGTTTTTGGTAAGAAAGAAGGCACTGTGAGGTTCAGATCGTAGGTGAGAGGCTGGGAGTTTAATAGTTTGATAGTGCGGAGATAAAAACTGTCTCTGAGTCTGGTAGTCCGGGCCCAAATGCTCCGGTACCGTTTTCCAGATGGTAGAGGGTCATACAGTCTGTAGCTGGGGTGTGTGGGGTCTTTGATAATGCTTAGAGCTTTCCTCAAGCACCATCTGTCATAAATGTCCTGGATGGATGGGAGAGCAACCCCAGTGATGGACTGGGCAGTTTTCACCACCGGCTGTAGGGCTTTGCGGTCAGCAATACTGTGATGCAACCTGTCAGTCTTCTGTCTGTAGTGCATCTGTAAAAGTTAGTGAGGATCTGGGGACATATCTTAGCCTTCTTCAACCATCTTAGGCGTCTACGGGCGTCTACCGTCTACCGTTAACCATCTACAGGCCCTGGTACGCTTTCTTGATCAGACAGGTGGCGTTGAGAGACCATGTGAGGTCCTCGGTGATATGGACGCCAAGGAATTTGAAGTTACTGACCCTTTCCACTTCAGTCCCATTGATGTGGATAGGAGCATGTCCGTTTTGCAGTTTCCTGAAATCAACAATCAGCTCCTTAGTTTTGCTGACGTTGAGGGTGAGGTTGTTGTCTTCGCACCACGTTGTAAGGAGATTGACCTTTTTTGTAGGCCCTCTCATTATGGTCTGTGATCAGACCTACAACTGTCAGGCAAACTTGATGATGGGAGTTCGTGTTTTTGTTGGAGTTGGAGATTTGCGTCTCATTTGAAAACCATTTTATTGTAAAGTTACTTGAAATCTTGTTTTATGAATGGATTTATGTGAAGTAAATATTACATTCAAATTGACTGTGTAAGACAAACATCTATTGAAATTTGAGTAGAAAACACACCATGTATAGATGAAAAAGTTGTCATGAAGCCATTCTTAACTTCATCAGAGTGAAAAAGAACAAGTGAATGCATCTCATCAACAGACCTCCATCCCTCTTACCTACGACTGGGGCCTCGGACTTGTGGAACAGATCCCTCCAGGCCGCATCCTGAAACAGGCTGTTGTAGCGGTAGTCTATGGTTCCCAGGTACTTGGACACAGGATGAGAACCTGAAAAAGGACAAAGACTGCAGAACTGCATAGTTTTGCCCTCATAAAGGCAAACAATGTGGCTCTGGTGCAGCCCTAGTTTACACACCAACAGCAAATTTCAAACCTAGAGTCTTTGATGGTAGGATTCCACTGGCTAGAAGAAAAGCATTTTTAGACTCAAAGTTTACATCATGTTTTGGGTTGGTAATTGTTCAGCTCCTCACTGCATCACAGAGGGTGTATAAACTGCTCTCCTGAGCATTAATGATCTGTTTGTAAGACCCTGATCTCACTACTCACCCAGGGGTATGACCATCAATATTATCTTCAATTGCTCTTAATATTCTAATAATTTGTAGAATTGTACCCTGCTATAAACCAATGTCTTGTGGCTGCATATATCCTAGTACATAACGATGTGTGAAATTTTGCCTTTTAAATGTTTGACTGATGCTTCTATAAACGAATACATAAATTTATGGTGTCAAAATAAGCAATAAATACGGAAAATCATAGCTCAAGGTTCTGTTTGTATGCATAAAAATATTGCAATGTATTGCAGAAGAGGTAATAAATACCAAAGATCCACTCCATTCCAATGCCAGTCTTTTTTGTTTTCACCTTCTACATTTTATAACAGGTATCCGTCAATTAAACAATGAAGCAGCTGTGCAAGCTATTTGAAGGTCCAATGATGCTTTCATGTGCCAGATAAGCTGAAAAGCCCACTGAAGAGGGATTTCGATATAGCAGTTTTATTTTCATTTCTGTACTGAACAGGAAAGTGTGGGTAATCAGTAATATTGTCATGGGTAATTTTAACTTTAATCGAAAACACATATTCATGTGTCTACCTATTCATCCACTGAGGGGAGGGCTGCTCAGAGATCTCACTACTCACCCAGGGGTATGACCAGGAACCTCATGTACCCAAGCCAGTCCGGGGTCTTGTGGGACAGGTGGTCCACAAACAGTCGCAGGATAGCACTGAGGTAATGCTGGGCTCCGGCCACAGCAATTTTGATTGGGATGGGCGTCTGAGAGTTACAGTTACAGCTAGAGGAGACAGACAGATACGGGGGTAAAGAACAGGCACTCTCAGTGAGCTGAACGGTCTCTACACACCAACCCTGTGGAAACTGCTGTCTGACAGCATTAAAACAGCATGTTCGGACACTGTTGTACTTCTAAGATGGATTCACCAGCTTGTTTTTTTTCTAGGGATGACAATATCTGACAAACTAAGGGCCTAGAAAAAGGAAATAAAACTCATCCCTGCCCTCTTTTGTAAGTCATTCATCACAAAGATTCTCATCCAATGAACATTACATTGCACAGGGACATCAGATGCAGGGCACAACTCCCGCAGGGCAACTAAATCTTGTAGCTCTTGGAAACTTAGGTTATCTAATGTTTAGGTTCAGGAGGCCTTATTACACCTTTTTCAAGAAAAGGTTAAGGTTTAGTAGTAGAAGCCAACAACAAATCAAAGCAATGGATTCTCACAGTAACAGACAATGAGCATTTGAGTAGAGGAGCAGAGCAGAGATTTCTATCCCCTTCCCCGGACACTTACAACAAATAATTGCTTACAACTGGTGATGAAAAGGTTGAAATAAGAGTAGGACAACTATGGTCCTGGAAAGACAGGAGACAAAGTTCTTTGCTTTAATAAACTATTAGCTCCCGTTTTAATGCTGTTCTCTACTAAGGTGCTTATCAGCTCATCGTTTTTTTAAATGTAGTAGCCTACTGTAAAATGCATGTAAAAGACATCATGTTTAAAAGACAAAATCCCTGGGTATTCATTTAGGCTGACCACGGGCCCCTCGTGAATGTTTGACTGCTGGATATTCAAATGAAGTATTTGATATTCATGGAATTTTCCTTTTGTATTAAATATTTTGTACAAAATATATTTTTGGCCCCGAAAACTTGGTCATGAGGCTGTTTTTGGTTGTGTCTAAGGTGTAAGAAGTAATAATAATAATAATTAATAATTGCTTACACTTATATACTGCTTTTCTGGACACTCCACTTAAAGTGCTTTACAGGTAATGGGGACTCTCCTCCACCACCACCAATGTGTAGCCCCCACCTGGATGATGCGACAGCATCACAACATCAGTTATTAGTGGGGAGGAGAACAGAGTGATGAAGCCAGTTCATAGATTGGGATTATTAGGAGGCCATGACTGGTAAGGGCCAGGACGCTGGGATACACCCCTACTCTGTTTGAGAAACGCCCTGGGATTTTTAATGTCCACAGAGAGTCAGGACCTCGGTTTTACGTCTCATCTGAAGGACAGCACCTATTTTACAGTATAGTGTCCCTGGACCCACATAGACAGCAGGGTGAGCGCCCCCTGCTGGCCCCACTAACACCTCTTCCAGCAGCAACCTTAGTTTTTCCCAGGAGGTCTCCCATCCAGGTACTGACCAGGCTCACACCCGCTGGCCCCACTAACACAACAACCTTAGTTTTTCCTAAGAGGTCTCCCTTCCAGGTACTGAGCAGGCTCACACCTGCTTAGCTTCAGTGGGTTGCCAGTTGTGGTTGCAGGATGATATGGCTGCTGGTACAATACAAGTAGTCAGAAAAGCATGTGTTTCAGAGCTGAGGAAAGGAGAGACTGGTGGAATAGGAGACAAACCTACTTCTAAACTTTTCTGAACTGGGCTGTGACATCTTGTATCTCTACAGTACATGACACTTACGGCGTAGTATTTTTCACTCACAAGGTGCTTAAACCAGAACAGCAGCAGTCAAAAGAGCCACTGACCAGGACAATAAGACTGAGTGCAGGTGTGGGGTGGGGATCTAAAGTCACTAAGTCACTCACAATCTCTGGATGCGGGAGACAATGGTGGTAAAAGCAGCCTGGATGTCGGCATTGGAGCAGGTGCAGACGATGGGCAGCTGGTGGTTCTGCAGCATCTCCGACAGGTACTGGGGTGACAGAGGGAGAGACAGTCACATGGCCCATTCCGCTGTCAATCCAAACCCTGGTTTGTCTGTCAGTTCTCCTTTCAATGACAATCTCTGTTACCTAGCTGAAACCATGAAACTTGTAAGTAATAATGTGTCTATTCAAACAATTTAAATTTCAAAACCAGCAAACAATTGAGAACGGTCTCATTTTCAGCACGTGAAGTGTTATCTTACAGAACAATAAGTCTGAAGACTAAATGCTAATTTACATAGGAGCGATTTCAAAGCAGTTTTTACACACATCTACACCGTCACTGGAATCAACAATCTACAATGGCAGCATGACTGGTAGGCTGTCTCTCCGGAGTCTATTTTCTGTGAGGTGTGAAAATACCTAAGTGAGCAATGCAATTAAATTTTTTATTGTACCATTCCAAAATGGTGTCCCTATCGCCCACTTCCCCTAGAAATTCATCGGATGCTTGAAGCAGTGCTGGCCAGCCCAATGGCCACTCGTTTCCTTTAGCTGCTATTTGAAGCCCTGTGTCGGGGGCTTTAAAAAAAGGCAATGACTGCATGAAAAGTTTAGGCATCAAATAATCAGGAGGTGACAAATCCTGCCAGTAATTCAAGATTCAAAAATGTCAAAATCAAATATAAAACTCATTGATGAGGTAGAGAAGTACAAACAGCTCCATGCCCTCAACAGTCCTTTGTACAACGAGTTCACAGCAAAAAAGATCTGGTCAGGAATGCAATTTCATCTGCCTCCTGAGCACAGCATGAGTATTTAATAAACTATATGAGTCAAAATGAATTAAAATAACATTCACTCATTAAACACCATTATCTGTTGGTTATATGGCTTCATGTACAGTCATGCAAAAAAGAAAGTACACCCTCTTTCAATTCTTCGGTTTTATATATCAGGACCTTACCAGGTCCTAAAATTAGGTAAATCTAACCTAAGGTGACAAACAACACATAACAGATTCCACTACAGTATGTCATTATTTAACAAAAAAAAAGCCAACATGCAGAAGCCATATGAAAAACTTAGTACACCCCATGATTCAGTAGCTTGTAGAACCACCTTTAGTAGCAATAACCTGAAGTAATCGTTTTCTGTATGAGTTTATCAGTCTCTCACATTGTTTTCGAGGAATTTTGTCCCACTCTTCTTTACTATATTGCTTCAGCTCATTGATGTTTGAGGGCATTCGTTTATGCACAGCTCTCTTAAGCTCCCGCCACAGCATATCAATGGGGTTGAGGTCTGGACCAATGAAACACCTTGATTCTTTTCTTTTTCAGCCATTCAGTTGTAGATTTGCTGGTGTCATTGGGATCATTGTCCTGTTGCATGACCCAGTTTCGTCCAAACTTTAGCTGTCGGACAGATAGCCTCACATTTGTCTCTAGAACACTTTGGTATAAAGTGGAGTTCATGGTCGACTCGCAGGCTACAAGATGCCCAGGTCCTGTGGCTGCAAAACAAGCCCAAATTATCACCCCTTCACCACCGTGCTTGACTGTTGGTAAGAGGTGTTTGTGGCGATATGCTGTGTTTGGTTTTCGCCAAACATGGCATTGTGCATAATGATCAAACATCTCCACTTTGGTCTCCTCTGTACAACGGATATTGTTCAAGAAATCCTGTGGTTTGTTCAGATGCAACTTTGCAAACCCAAGTTGTGACGGCATGTTCTTTTTGGAGAGAAGGAGCATTCTCCTGGCTACCCTTCCATGAAAGCGATACTTGTTCAGTCTTTTTGTGATCGTACTGTCATGACCTTTAATATCTAACATGTTAACCAAGGCCTGAAGATCCCTAGATGTAGCTCTTGGGTTCTTTGTGATTTCTCTGAGCATTATACGGTCTGAACTAGGGGTGAAGTTGCTGGGACGCCCACTCCTGGGAAGATTGGCAACTGTCTTGAATGTTCTCCATTTGTAAATAATCCTTCTCACTGTAGAATGATGGATTTCAGATTGTTTGGAAATGGCTTTATAGCCCTTCCCAGATTGATGAGCAGCAAAAATTGCTTCTCTGAGTTCATTGCTGATGTCTTTTCTCCTTGGTGTTAATACACACCTGAATGCTCCAAACCACCAAACTGCCAAAAGTTCTGCTTTTATAGAGGTGGTCACACTTCCTGATGATCAACTAATCAAGTGTATTTGATTAGCAGCACCTGGCTGCTAATTACCTTCTTAATTCCTATGGAAATAGTAAGGGTGTACTAAATTTTACTCACATGGTTTCTGCATTTTGGCTTACTTTTTGTTGAATAAATAATGACATACTAAAACCTGTTATGTGTTATCTGAGGCTAGATTTGTCTAATTATGGAAGATGGTGAGGACCAGACAATTGTTATTTATGCCCGGATATGTAAAATCACTGAATTGAAAGTGAAAGTGCTGATGAAAAATGACAGAAGTAGAACTAAGTCTGCTTCAGTTGTGTGACCATGGATTTTGTTGAAGCTTAAGGACATCTACATTATATACTGTAGGGTGGCTGGTTGTTCCAAGGTACTGATGTCTCCACTGACAATCAGGAAAACGAAAAGACAAGTCTGGACCACAGGACTGGATCAGTGAGTTCAATTAAGCCCAAGGTGCACCTGAAGCCCCACTCCCCCACAACAGCAGGCACTCACCTGGCCCTGCCAGTCCGACGTGTTGATGAGGATGATGTTGTCAGGCAGCTGGTCGTCAGACACAAGGATATGGTTGAGCTGGTCGTAGACAGTTTTCCGGGGGATCTGTTATGGTAAAACAAGAACAAATTATTGCCAAAATGTCATCTCTCTCTTCCTCACAGTCGAGCATTACTGCCATGTTTCCTGATGAAAGCTACAGGATAAATTTGGAAAGCCTTGCAAAGTATTTGTTTTGTGTGGTCATAAATACAGAAATTATAGAGACTTCTATAGAGTGGATCATCCACTAAAGCAGCTAACTGCAAGAGCAGATTTAGCTTTATGATTCACATGTGGCATGTTCGAACCCGAGCCCCAGTGTGACGCACTTTAAACTGCATCAGAACTGCCAGGGGTTAGGCAACACCCAGCACAGCTGTGACCCAGGTGATTTCCCAGGTGCCTGCAACCTCAAGGTGACATCAGCAAGGGACGCACTTCTCCAATCAGGGCTGAGCCTCAAGCTTGGAGCTTGGAGCTTGGAGTTTGTAAAGGGGAGGGGGGGGGGGGGGGGTCAGAGGAGGCTGTCTGCACTTCCTCATTCTGCTTGAGTGGGACTGGCACGGTGGATATATACACGCAGTAAATCAAAAAGTGGGAAAATAAAAAAAAGAACTAGAAATTTAACATAAAAAAATTCAGAAAATATTAGCCCTAAACACTGGCAAATAAAATATCCCCACTTACCTGCAACTGGCACCTGGTGTCTGGAGATCGCTCATTATCCAAGCTGTTGGCTCTTTCGTTCTGTTGCCTCACTGGCTGTCTCTCTTTGAGGGAAGTGCTTCTTCCTCGCCGGCCTGCCTGCTTGGCCTCCTGCCTGGAAAGACAGCAGGGAGGGAGGGAGGCTCCTTAATGGGTGACGAGCATGAAGGCGAAATTATACTGAAAAATGTTACAGCTGCCATCTCCTGCATCTCAAATTTCTGCCTGTGCTTTGTGTGGTATACTACTCAGCCAAACGTCTGGAAGCATGTTCCATATAAATGATTTACTTTTATAGGAAATAGTAATAGAAATGCCTCACTACATGGTATGTCCCATTATCCCTTTGCACTGGAAAGTAATACACTAGCCAACTAGACTTTTATCTGAATGTGCGGTCACATAGTGAAAGTTTTTGTGATTGAGCCCACAACAGACATAACCTTCAGAAGGATGTCCTCTGTTGTACTACTGAAATCAACACACTTTAATCAGACCTGGTTAATGTGCCAATTCAGAGAACTCAAAGGCTTTAGAAGCAGAAATGAACAGATTAAAAAAGCCACCAAGAAGCTACAGGACCACTACCTTCAGAGTTATATCAACTGCCTTTGGCTATGGGATCCTGTATCTACTTCGGCATATGAGATTGTCCAGTTACAGACTGCAGCTATAACCACCACTAGGAGGCAGACAGACCAACTATTAGGTATATTCCTAAATTCATACACTTTTCAAATGGGTTATAGGGTACCCACAGGGATACTTTTAATGATTTTAGGGATCACACAATTATTCTTACATACAGTAGCGCCTTTCAGTCTAAAGAATTCTCAAGGCACTTCAAATAAATTACACATATAAAAATGTACAGTAACCATCTGGCCTGTGATGTCCAGAGATTTATTTTATCTCTGGGAGCAGTGTTTTCCCTCTCTTCTAGGCTCATGCGGTATACTGTTACTCTACAAAATTGTCAACTTATTATTCTGTAAAGCACTGTTGAAACTGTTGAAAAGGTCACCATAGCAAATAAAGGACTGATATGAAAAAGGGGTAAGCATTTTATTGCATTTGTAAGGAATGTTTTCTGAAGCTTTTTAAATAGCTTTGACGAATATTTACAGTACAGAAATTTGACAAAACCTTTCCACTTTTTATTCACGTTTGTGTGCACCCAAAGATGTAACTGAAAATTAATAGCATTCTGGGGTAACAATCATTGAACTGTTGTTTGTGAGAAGTTCCTGGGTGTCTTGATATATAAGTCTTATAAATTATATATTCCAAAGACCAAAAACTATTAGAGGGAGGCAGAAAGGCAGGTCTTTGTCAGAGCCACATTCTCCAGAAAGACAAGGGGAATGTCTCACTGTCCTCATATATCTGATTAACAGGAAGAAGACAATTAAGTCAGGTGATGGTAAAAAGGCAGGATGCACAGAGCCCACTGATTGCTGCTGTCTAGGAAACGAGCAGAGCCTCTGTTATGCACCAGAGGGAGATTTCTGCAAGCTAGCTACTGACCAACCAATCTGTTAAAATATGAGTTTTGTAAAAGGCAAAAGTTTGGGAAAGTTTGCATTTGGTACAGGGTTTACTGCCTGGTGATAGGCATTGCACAGATTCAAGAAGATGTTTAGATAGAGTTCCAAAATGGTCTACTGTTCTACCGATGGTCTACAAGAGGAACTAAAGTTTTTTCTGTTTAATCTCACCATGTGAAATAAAGACAACTGCTTTTACCTTACAGCTGTGGCCTGTGTCCTTCTACTTCTGGGACCTGCGTATTAAGAGGTATCTCCTACCACACCATGTCCCTGGCAGTGGTACTCTCTAAAAAGAATACTAGCAAACTGTGCCAGGGATACCTTATGGTAGGGTGGGATTAGTCATCCAGGACTCTTTCTGCTCTGGGCAAAACAGCAACCTCTTATGACCTCTCAGATGCCTGTGGTGGCATAATAGTTATAGACAGACAGGCTGCTCTTTCAATCGGAGCTAACCCTCCTGCCAGGCACTGTGGAGCTGTGCAGCATGTCAAGAGGCATGATTCTGAGGGCCAGGTGGGTTGGTGGAGCTTTCTACCACTACATTACAGAAGTTGTTGATGTGAGCCGAATCCGGGGATTCCAAACTGGGAGGGTATAAAGTGAAAAATTGTTAAAAACCTGGCAATGAGACAAGTGTATGAAGGGTTGGGGCAGCGACAGGGAGTGTGGTACCTGCTGGAGGGGATGATGAGCGACTCCGTCTTGGTGATCTTGCCGCTTGGGGGAAGCTTTTCCAGGAAGGTGTCCATATTGTCCAGCTCCTGCTCTGTGGTTGGGGTGGTGGCTTCTGGCTGCTCCTGAAAAACAGCAGTCAACACACACAAGCTCATTGGCCTGTTTCATGTCTCAAAGGGAACACCTTTCATTCTGCCTTCGTGCCAAATATCAAAGTACCATTCTTGATTTTCCAAAGGTTTAACACACTATTGTCATTAATGACACCAGTTTAGAGAACACCAGTGGAAGACCTACAAAACCTTATCTAAAAAACAAGCACATACATTGCTTTTCCACCACTCAAACACTTGCCCAGTCTATGTCTGGCATAAGTTCCTATGATGTATTTAAAGTGACACAGATCCTCTAAAGACTACAAATTTAGGCACAGAATGAAAGCAGCATCATAAAGAGAATCTTTTCCAAGCACTTTTGTGAATGTACAGATGCACTGTCCAATTCCAATATAGTTTTTACACTGTGTGCTAATTGCCTGTGGAAATTGTAATACAGTAGACTCGCGGCATACACAAAATATTTTTACGTGAATTCTTGCATACGCAGTCAATGACAAAAAAATCAATTAAAAGTCACATAGTGCAGGAAATTTCACAAATTCAAATCTGGCACCGCATGTACCTGAGCTATGCTTTGGGAACTAGTTACCTATAGCACTCCAGTGCTCTCTTTATCATGTCACATCACCTATTATATGGCTCGTAAACTAAAAACAAGAGGAAAGGTAAGTCAAGTTTTTTAGCAAGTTAATGGGTGGGATGACTGTCACCAGCTTGGCACATATATATGACAAGAATGAACTTTCGATCTGTGCAATTAGAGACAGAGAGAAGGCTATTTGTGAGAGCAAGAGAGAGTGTTTGTTTGTGCAATTTGTTTTACAGCAGCAGTGTTGGTGTACAGAGGGACAGAAAAAAAAACATGACAACAACAATGATACACCTACATGTTTGCATAGAAAATCAAGTGTAAATTAAAAATACGGTTACATATGGCTAAGAACTTAATTCTATTGGTTTTGGAGTTGGGGAGTCGATATCTATGTTCTGATGGAAGTAATTGGAATTCATTAAACAAGGGGTGTCTATGTCAGGAACCAAATGTCCGCAACCAAAACCAAAACCCAAGTCTACTGTAATTGAAAGGAAATATATTTATAAAATAAGGATTTGTGGTATTGTTACTGTCAAAAAATAAAATATACAACAAAACAGCCAAATCATTCATATATTTATACATAAACCTCAATTATCAAGGTTTATATATGGCTCTATGCATGACAATTTTATCAAATTAGGCACATACTCATAAAATGGATAATAATAGTTTCATTATGTATGGACTGAAGTTAATTAAACCAAGAGATTAGCTTGCTGTGTCAGAGTCTTGTCCAACTGGTGGAGGGAACAGCAGAAATAAAATGGCTTGAAATCACACAAAAAAACAATGACAACATGCATAATCATGAATACGTACAAAGGGAACGGTGTCTGAGATGTCATCAACTTGGAACTTGCCCTCTGAGCTTTTGGCTTTGTCTGGACCATCCATCTGCTGGGAGAGCACAGGGTCAGCTCAGCCCAAGGACTTTACCTCAGGATACAAGACAAGGCATCGCATTTTGCCAAGTTCACTTTACTGGCACAGATATCAGCAAGTACAGAATGATGAGGAGTGACACAACTCTCAAAACACAATGGAAAAAAAGAAGAGTTACACAAATATATAATGAGCAAAGTGGGCAACATAGATGGCAAAAAACAATTTCATACCAGCCCATTTTGAAATAGTCAATTATTTCTTTCATGTCACAGCAATAGGTCTTGTACTGCACTGTACCCACATGGTGAAACTGGGACATCCAGCCAGCTCACGCATCAAGCCATTTGGCATTTGACACAATTGATTTTTGACTCAGTGCCTTACAGGAGGGTTGACACCAACTGAAGCAGTGGCATTCTCTCTGAATGTCGTACTCCCTCATGACAAATTACTAGAAGACGCATCTGGGCGCAGAAGACGCATCAAATGTTCCTGCTTCTCCACCTATCAGTCAATCTGTTACCATGACAACACAAAGCAGCAGGAAATCAGTCCCACCTGTCTGTTTTTAAATCAGTACCTTGTTTCGAAAGATATTAAACACCTGATTTCCCATTCATCTCCGCTCAGTCATAGAAAGTCCTTCCCCTAGTTTTAGCTTTCGCTTTGGATTTTCCCCTGTGCTTTGTTTGTTTTTCTGGTTTAAAACTATAGAACTCTGTTCTCAAAGCAAAGGCCTATCCTGGTTTAATCACTTGCACCCTGATAAAATAAAACCTAGAAATAAAATGAGATCCATATTTTTCTCTGTTTTCTTTGAACTGAAGCCTGTTCAGATCCACACTTTAATATACAAAGTGGGAGCTATTCTTTTTTAATTTCTTGTTTGCTACCTGTACTGTAAGTCTTTCATTGGCCTTGTAGTGTGAAACACCCTCTTTAAAACTTATTGTGCAAGATTAGAGGCAGAGAACCTTTGGACATAAGCGCACACAAAAATAAATTAAACTATTCTGAAAATGACTTACAGTATTCAATTCTTTCCACTGAAATTCCTTTTCAGCTAGTTTACAAAGGACTTGAGACTGAGGGAGGTGTAACAGGAGAACACCATCTTAAAGAAACAAATGACTCCCAATTATCTGAAACCCATCTAAGTTACTTTTCAAGTTTAAGGTCTTGTTTCAGACAAGTACAACGGATATCAGCGTGGCTGCATTATTTGTGGGCTATAAGCTGGATTCCCTGAACAATACAGGTTGGCTTGAGTTTAGAAGGAAAACCTTGAATCTCTGAACTGGGATAAAGATTACAGTGCATAGGGCTAACTGTTTAACATCAAGTAATTAAAAATGATAGAAAATGAATTGGTAATCGTGTCTTTTCTTGGCTAGCATTTCTTTAAAGTCCCCTTTTAGAAGACTGGTTTCTGGTTTAAAAAGAGCACAGCAAAGATCAAGAACATCTACCTTCACACTACATTTGCTACAAAAAATGTAGTATCTTGAAGTATCATCCTGGAGCTAAAAAACGATTGTAAATGTGACAGAGACTCACCGGGCTGGGCGGCTCACGGTGGCTACGACTGCTGTGGATGCTGCCGATTTCTGTCTGAGAGCTGGAGTGGGAGAGCCCTTCGAAATACGGCCTGCAACACAGGACACAGCCTTCTCACCAAAAGAACCCACCCTCTAGCTACCATGAAGAAAATGGGCCTCATGGCAGAATTCTTTTTTTCACATCTCTCAAGAGTATTCAAAGTCCCTGTGCCAGAGCACTTGGTGCTGCATGAATCACTCAGAGAAGTGCTTATGACCGTGTGTGTAAGTCCAGCATCTCAGCATCCTACAGAGAGGATTTCTGAGTGTTCGATATCTAGTGTTGTAACAGGCTTCATCTCTACTCTCGGGTTCAGCTAAGCCAGTTCTGTTATCCTCTGTTATTACACATGTTCAGTGTAAGGAAACCTGGGATGTCACAGCAGTTCTGAGATTTCCAATAACCTCTCTTACTGGATTTTAAATACATTAGGGTCTCAACATTCACAAGGGTTAGGTGAAGCAAAAAGTCAAATTTAATGACTTAAGTAACTCTATGATAATTAAAGTGCTAAGGCACTGGCTTGAAGTTAATTTAAACAATATTGATAAACTAAAAGAAACAACAGGAATCACAAAAGTATGATATTCAGCTTAAATAAACAACATCCAGCCTGCATTTTCTTTTCCTACCTCCATGATTATTATGCCGCACTGTAACGAAACTGACAATAAAACTGTCAGTGAGCCTATAAAGTTGTCTTCAGTCTGTAATTCCCCCCCACACTGTTGACAAGAACTTGGGAGTGTTCCTTATAATATAAAAACAAGATCACGCTGAGATGTGGATGCTGGGTAGCGAGTACTTGGGCAGGCAGCAGGGAGAAGCTCACTCAAGAGCTAGGTTGATTTGTCCCATGATCCCAGTCTGTTGTGCCACTTACAGGAAAGTTGCGGTAAACAACCTTCATTTTGGTTTCATCACATTTTGCTCTGCTGTTATTCAAGACTTTGTCGGCCTGACCGAATTTTGAATAAGCAAATTCATGAGCGTTAAACTTGCAGATGCTCAGACCCTACTGTATTCGTAAAGTTTATTACCTTTAATGCAAAAGCTTAATTACCTTATTAGTGTCTCAAAAACATCAAGTGTGTTAACTCTACAATTGAATGCTGTCCTGTCCAGAGTCTAGTCTCACCTGACATCCTGTGTTTATTGGATAGGCTTAACATTGCAGAGGTCTTATTAGAGTTCTTTGAAGATGCAAAAGCAGAACTGAATAAAAGTAGGGCATATTTAGATTTTCAGGAAGTTTTGAATACAGTTGCACAAAGACTGGATTCCTGTCACCTTCGATTTAAGAATTAAAGTATTGCATGCATTTGAATTGAGAAATGGTTTATGCATAGACAAATAGAGAGTACATGAGGGAATGGTCCACTATTAGATTAATGCAGGGGTCCGTATTAGGACCACTGCTCTTCCAGTCACGTTTTTTATTCTTTGTATTTTTTTAGTATATTTTCCAATCTCACAAATTCCTCTGGTCTGTAAAAAGTCCTAGACCATGTCTTCTGAATAAGATTCATAGCTTTTAAACTGACACAGAATGCTGTGAAAAATACCTTGCCTTGTCACAAAGGAGTTTACATCTTTGCACCTGTGATTTTGTGCACTGTACATATCTTGACATAACACTCCGAATGAATGAGAGTTTTACGTGGCCATACAAAAACTATGAATATATGATGACAAATACAGAGCCGTCACAAAAACAAGTAAAAAGACTTGTTTTATGTTGACGCATCATTTTCTTCCACAAGCCAATGTAGAGAAGCAGTAAACAGGCAGACAGAATAATAGAATATATAGTTAATAAAATTCAAATTATTATCTACAATGTCCTAGTAAAACCTCTTTCAGATTACCATGTACAAATCTGGTCACAATGTTAAAAAAAAGATATTGTTTCTTTGGAATTAGTCGATTGAAGAACAAGAACCCAGATACTTTCCTTGGTTTAAAGGAATGATCTACACTGAATGGTAAAAAAAAACTAAATCTAAGTCTTGAAAAAAAAAAGAGAACCACAAGGGGTTCTAATTCAAGTATTCAAAATTCTCAAAGGCATTGACAGAGCCATCTAGCGGACTTAAGAATTAACACTGGAAAAAAACACCAGAGGGCACAAGTGGAAACTACAGAAAAGTGCATTTAAAACTGCGAACAGGAGGCCCTTGGTTTCTTTCAAGAATTGGATGAATGGGTTCCTCAAATCAAGTACTAAGAGCCAAAAAGGCTAAATGGCGTGAATAGTCTTGGCTTGTTTGTAGCCTCTTGAACATACTTTCATTAGACAGCTAATAAACAGACCACACAGCAAGCTGGGGTGATGTACACATAGGCAAGTGTAGTAGCACTGCATCTCACTTGAGCTTGGGTTTGGGGGTGCTCAGCACACTGTCATCGTCATCCAGCTCTGGGCCGCTGTCGCTGGGGTTCTCAAACTCCAGACTCTCCAGGTCCTCCTCAACCTCTGGAGGGGGCTCTGCCGGGTCCTGCTCCGAATCCAGCACCTAGACAACCACGCACATGGGCACACAGGGGTAAGTGTGATATGTGCAGCTCTGCCTGCCCTGTTCCCAGCATGCACAAAGCCACTCCCTAGACCTGAGGTTTTCAACCAGTGGGGTGGGGGATGTGATACTTGTCAGGGGCACGCAAGATTACAAGACATTTTGGTGCAAACATGCAAGTAAATTGAAAAATAATAAAATAACTGCAGTGAACATGTTGCTTCAGTCGTTAACAGCAATTCATTATTCATCCACTAGTGGTGGGTATTGCAATCTGACTAATGTCCCTGGCTAAGCAGGCTACAAGCTCTCTATTCTCATTGGCAAAGGCTACAGCAGAGTTGAGACTCTGAGCATTATACCATTACAAACTTTAAAATGGACCAGAGGCTTATTGCTAAAGTTAACAACAGCGGTGAATGTGAAACTGTTGAACTATGTGACATAATCAGAGAAGACAGAGTTGCTATGGAGGAGGAATCCACAACCGACCCCATCGATGTTATTGAGCCGTCCACATAAAAGGCAGAGCTATGTTCAGAACAGAGAAACCTGGGTAAAACTAAAAGCCCTGGTGGAACAAAAATGACAGAAATATGATGAAAGGTACATAAATTATGGATTCACGTATATCATACTCAATGATGAACCACGTCCACAACGTATTTTATGTTCTTAGGTACTTGCAAACCACAGCTTGAAACCTGTGAAATTAATAAGGCACTTAAACACGAAGCATCCCCCATACAAAGATAAGATGGTTGACTTTTTACGCCATAAAGAATCAGAGTTGACTAGCCAAAAACTAACAATGACAAAACAGACAACAGTGACAGCCAAAGCCCCGACTGCCTCATTTGAAGTGACGTATTTGATTGCCAAAGCTAAAAAGCCTCATACGATTGGCAAGACTCTTATTCGCCCAGCAGCATTGGCTATTTGTCAAACTATGCACAGAAAGAAGTTAGCTAGCGATATTGAGCAGATTCCACTCTCTGATAATACGATCAGCCACCATATCATGTTCGCTGCCACCCATTGCTTGATTCACCGGGAGGCCCTTGCAGCAAAACGCTCCCATCCAGTAAAGTTAAGACTGTATGCCATGTTGTGCAAAGAAATGGAGTCAGAACACGAATCATTAATCCTACACATGGAGGTGAGATGGTTCTCGAGAGGAAAAGTGCTTCAGCGGATATTTTCACTGCGAGATGAACTACGCATTTTTCTGCTTGATTGTGCTCCCTATACACAATATTTTACCGACCCGAAGTGGCTTGAACATCTTGCATACCAGTCGGACATTTTTGACAGACTTACTGTAGTACTGTTAATATGTCACTTCAGGGCCCCAATTCAAATGTATTGACAGTGACTGACTAGATCAAGGGGTTTGTGAGGAAACTGGAGCAATGGAGAACGCAGGTTGAGGAGGGAAATGTGGACATGCTCCCCACCTTGGAGGAGTTTATAATGGAAATCGTCATCATCTGCAAGCCCTTTCCGAACATTTTAGGAAATATTTTCCTGAGCAAAAGAGTCGGGACCAGACTGGGCTCATAACCCCTTCATTACCAATGCAGGGTGTCAGCTGTCGTCAGACCAACAGGATACCTTTCTGGAACTTTCAAGTGACCACACACTGAAAGCAGTCTTCAATTCAACCCCACTTGCGGAGTTTTGGCTGTTAGCCGAGGCAGAGTACCCCAAACTGTCAAGACTTGCAATTGATGTACTTTTGCCTTTTTCCTCGACTTGGCTCTGCAAAACAAAGTTTTCTGTCCTTACTTATATTAAAAACCAATGCCACTCATGATTAATGACAGTGGAGGATGATTTACGACTAGCAGTGTCTGGAATTAAACCATAAATCCACATGTTGTGCCTTCAGAAACAGGCTCAACCATCACACTGAATAAAGTCAGTTGGAATGTATCCTCCTTTGAAAGTAAATTAAGGAAAGGTGCTGAAATGCATGTACGCATCCACAATGTCAGTTATATTGCGTGAGTGGGTGTGACGAGGGTGTTCGCATTGTTTTCTCAATGGGTTTTGAGTTGGGGGGCGCAAGTTCAAACTTAGACAAACGGGGGGGGGGGGGGGGCACATGTCAAAAAAGGTTGAAAACCCCTGCCCTAGATAGTTGATCACTCCACCATGTCAAAATACTGTCTGGATATCAGAGGGGAGTGACATCACTTCTTTAACTGGCTCAGTGCAGGTCTCCCCTTCTAAATTCCCCCTACACTCCTCCACAAAAAACTCAGTGACTGACTGTGAAATCCGATTCATGGCAGTAGTGTGATGCATAAGTTCTCCTAGGTCCTGAGGGATTTGATCCTAGATAATTTCAGACATACAGACATTACTCCACCACACCAAAAATACCAGTGATCTGACGCTGCAGAACTTTCACTGTCTAGGTTACTGAGCCCTGTTATATTAAGGCAAAACCTTTGTAGTTCTAAATTATTTCACAACAGGCATCATTTTATAATTTAAAATTGTGACAAGGCTGTCTCTCATTTTTCGAATTCCATTGCGGTCTTTTTCCAGTCTCCTATACAATCCATTTACTGTCCATTTCCAAAACTATGCCGATGACAATAGTTTAATTTGCAGATTTCACTTTTTTCCCAGTAATCTGCAAATAATAAGAATCATGTTTTTCCAGAAGAAAAAACATTAAAATATCGCCATCTGAAAACAGCCCTCTTATTTTCCCAAGTGCAATGAAAAGAGGCATTACAATTTGAATATAATAAAACTTGATGAGGCATTTAATGCAATTTTAAGACTCTTATAAAAATGCATTACATCATCAGTTCCTGCTGTAAATCCAAGACAAATGCTTACAACTTTTCTTTTTCAAAATCTGACAGAACTGCCCATTTCTAAATATAAGTTTCCTATTCTTTCACTAGCTCTAGTCAAAGATTAGTAAGCTAAAACAAAATTACTTACTTTACCTGGATAATGAACACTGTGATAATTGAAGACAATCAAAGCTACAGTATCTATCTCTTGTAATTGTTTACAGATAATTGCTTAGAAGTAATTAACAGCACAAGTCAGTCTAAGAACTGCAAGCCATGTCTTAACTGATACTGGGTACTATAGATCTTGACTGATAGTATCAGGGTCACAAAATATAAGTCAATTTAAAACAACTGGACAACACGTACCTCATCAGACACTCTGAACCTCTTCAACAGAGCTACCACCCGCTGCTTAAAATTTTGTTGCTGAAAAACAAGTTTTGGTTGAATTGTATTTTTGTGTACATATACACATTGGATCACGATGCATTAATTTGGCCAGGAGACAACTTCACACACTATATCATGTACACCAGATTTGGTTTTCAGTCAGCTAACAAATTCTCTCCCCTGCATAATGAATAAACATTAACGGGCAAGATAATAAAACAACATGCATCACTGCTTCAACCCAATTCTAAGTCTTTTTTTGTTTGAAAACAATTTAAGAACACCATAAAATCTAAAATAGTCTGAAAGTAAAAATGCAAAATGCTCCTTTCAAAGTGTTTTGGAATTACAGAACAACCTACACTTCTATGTTGTCAAAGATTATATGAATTCACTACTAGCAATCAAATGAGCTAGATAGGCAGAAGGCCTCTCATTTGTAACTTTTCTGATGTTGTAATACTTCCAGATACCACCAGATGACTCTGTTATCTAAAAAGTGATCTCAGATGAAAAGGCTGGTAGTGTTCCATGAATATCTGTTATTAAGTCTGTCTGTGGCAGGCACAACAAGCATATGGCATTTCCTCCACTGGACCACTGAGTTCTGGATTAAGCTTGAAACACAACCTAGATTGTAACCTATTAGTCTGTTCTGAGAAAATGCTGTGCATGAAAATTTTCTGGCATCTCAGCACTAGCACTGATCTCAGAGTAACAACAAACTGTAGTGGAAGTTCAGCTTGGACATTTTCTGGTTTTAAAAAATGTTATTGTGTAAAACACTTTGGGATACACATACAGTACCTACTTGGCTTTGTTCAAAAAGTGCCACTACTAAATCTTGGGATAGGAGTATATAATAAAAATTCAGGTGGGTAGCTGCGTCAGCATGCGTAGGCTGCAAAGGAACAAGTAATAGGTTTATTCCATGCTGAAAAAAAGAAGAGAACACAACGTTTCGGCCGTGGAGCCTTCTTCAGGTGACTGAAGAAGACTCCACGGCCGAAACGTTGTGTTCTCTTTCTTCTTTTTTTCAGCATGGAATAAACTTATTACTTGTTCCTTTATAATAAAAATTGTTTCATGTTCCCAGCATATTCACTCTAGCTCTCTCCTACCCTGGTGATGGAAGTGGTCCGCACGATAGATCTCCTCTGCTTCTTGGGTTTCCTCACATCATACTCATCATCATCGAGATCCTGCAAAAACACAAAATGTCTAAAGCAATTAGAAAAGCTGCACAAATTGGTAATCCAGTCACCAAATAAATTATAAAGGTGGCTGATCCTAGAGACAAGAAAGACCTAGGCAGAAAAACCCAGTCAGCCAAGATCTCTCCCATTCGTGATCTTCATGGACAGGATATTGTGGCACCACTGAGGTCTGGAAACCATCTTTGCTTTATGTGAATGATGATGTCCTCTTTGCCTCATCTGATTGTGATGTGGGAGGAGCACTGGAGAGGTTTGCAGATGAGTGTGAAGCAGTTGGGATGAGTGTAAATTGGGATGATATATAACCATATGAGGTTACGGTTCTCCCTCATAAAAGAGTGGATTGCTCACTCCAGGTTAGGGGGAGAACAGCTGCCCCAAGTGGAGGAATTTAAGTACCTTAGGGTCTTGTTCGAGTAAGGTTAGAGGTAATTGAGAGATTGACCGGCAGATAGGTGAAGTAGCTGCACTAACGAGAACTCTGTACCAAACTGTGGTGGTGAAGTGGAAGCAGAGTTTCTGGATGAAGCTCTTGGTTTTCTGGTTGATCTACATCCCTAATCTCACCTATGGTCATTTTGATTAGTAACCGAAAGAATCAGACTGCAGGTCCAAGCAGAGGAAATTAGGTTTCTCTGCAGGGCTGCTGGGCTTACTCTCCATGGAAAGGTGAGCAGCTCTGCAATCCAAGAGGAACTTGGAGTAGAATTGCTGCTCCTCTGGAGGAGTACTGGGCACGTACCAGTGGACAGAGACGCAGGGACAGATCCAGGACACGCTGGAGGGATTATATCTCTAAGCTGGCCTGGGAGTCCCTCAGGAGGAGCTGGAGACTGTTGCTGGGAAAAGGGAAGTCAGATCTGCCCTGCTCAGCCGCTTACCACTGCAACCCTCACCAGGATTAAGAGATCAGAAAATTATATAGTAACATTTTCTTACTTAAGGGAGGAGAAATAACAGGGAGAATTGTTGTCAGATATCTTTATTGTCAGTATTATCGCAGCCAGCTTCATAATTCTGGACTGGTATTGGATATTAAAAGATATATGCAAAATAGCAGTTTGCAAAAAAATTGATCCATGTTTGTTTCTATGTTTAACAGAACAGGTATCCCACAGTTCTCAAAATTCTCCAGATAGAATTAAGAAATCACATCATCTAAAAAAAAGTAAAAGTCATGCAAGTCAATCAAAAGCAAATTATGAAACTGGAAACTGTATTTCTAATTAGAATTCTAATTTACAATTCTAAGTGAGTTTCTGAAGTGGAATATGTTTAAATTTTTTTCAGCAGCAAGTAGACGGCTTTATAAATAAATTATTAAGTGTCTGCGGAACCACTCTTCTGCACAATGTGAATTTTTTTCACTGATAAAATGTTGATTCATTGTTAGCATTATCATGTCACTGATTCATTGTTAGCATTATCTAATTTTATCGGCATCTTGAACTGTTCTTGATTTGTCTTTCTCCAAAGTCCATATCACTAGCAATAGAAGAAATTAAAAAATGATGTGCACCACATCAGTGTTTCTAAAGCCCACTTTTAATAAAAGTGCTGTTTGGAACCCATATTTCCTGCCTCCCCAATGAACAATTAAGCCAAATATTTTCTATCCAGTCCTACCAAATTAACATATTAAAGAGAAAATCAAAATGACACCAAGGATGTCCTATTTCATAAAGACAACCAAAAAACAGAAACTGCAGAGACTAATAACAAAACATTTACAATTACTATTGTTTTTTGTTTTCACTATTTTTTGGTTTCAAAAGTTATAGTATTTTGAAATCCTGACAATGTTTTTTATTCATTCAAGCCAAGAGTCACCGTTAGGCCTTCAATGCATAGAAAATGGAATCAGATTAATTCTTTGTCCTCATTTACAGTAAACATAAATTCCATATAACTAGATGGTTTTACAGTTTAAAACGGATAGCAATCCACATTCTATCATTGGAGGAGTGATAACAGACATTCACTATCATGGAATGATTCAGGAATGGTCCCAATTTTGAAAACATCTTTGTGACCAGATAATTCTAGCACCAGATTTATAGAAGAGGGCAAAAATAAGGACTAAACTGCAGAGCAGTTTCTAAACTCTGTTACAGGTCTCTAATTTTAGAAATGTTCTACAAACTATGGCACTAAAAGATAAGAAAGATTACAAACAAGAGGAGGCCATTCAGCCCATCTAGGCTGTTGGGTAGTTAGTGGCTGATTGATCTGAAGATCTCATCCAGCTGTTTTTTGAAAGAAGCCAGAACAACATGGCTGGGCAACTTGTTCCACATTCTCACAAGCTTCTAGGAAAGTACCTCCAGTTCTCATTTTTAAATGCACTGTTTATTTGCCACTATGAACTTGCGGAACCATAAGGCCTTGTTTGAAGATATCAGGTCCTTTTGCCACCTAGGTTTTATTTTTGCCTCTTGAGAAAATGCTGTGTCTTTGAAGTTAAGAAATAAGGCAGCATTTTTCATAGTTGATGTGTCCCCCAGATATGAAAGAATAATCAATGTGTGCATTAGAAGTACTGAACTCATCTCGTTGCAAGGCGTATGTAAGGCAAATGTGTGTAAGGAAAATGCATTGTTTTAATCTAATGAAAGAATTCTCTTGCATCTATTAAATCAAGAAAACCAAATAACCATATCAGCCTTCTCAAAGATAAAGTAGAGGCAGATGAGGCAACTATAAGTCGTTGGGAGTTCTAGTCTCACAGCAAATTATGTAGTAAACTTTGAATGAGCTAGATTTCATTCTTATTTTTTCACTAAAAAGCCAACAACACTGCTGCAGGCTTACAGTAGGTCTGCCCATGGAGTTGTGTTGCCTAGCAACACGCAAGGGCTGCTGCTGCCACTACACATAGGATGAAAACAGAAATTATTCACTACATACAATGAGCATCCATAAAAACATAAAACATCTTGTCTTAATTTTTCTTGGGTTAACAGCACACAAGTTCATGTTTGACAGCTGTCTGTCTAGGAAGAACTGCTCTGTAGCATAAAAGTTGAAATATTAACACTATATTTTATTTATACTCAGTAGCTTTAATGTGTGTTTTTAATGACAAAAGTATACAAATGTCCAAAGCCCACAGCACAGAACAGTCTGACCCTCAGGACCAGTACAATGTAGTACAATGCATCCATTGATTTGTCTTTCTCCAAAGTACAATGCAGAGGGTACTTTGTCACAGAACATCGTATAGCCAGAAGGACTGTTAGGTGAGGGGATGTTAAACATCAGACTAGGTTGGGAAGTTTTGATAAGACATGTAACTAACTGGAAGAAGCTAGAAAAAGCAGAATAGGATAATAACACTAACAAGACAAAACAAAGGACAGCAATGATTTTTAACATTTTATGACACATTGCTCTACTGTATAACCCATGAAACCTTCAAAACTATTTTTATATCTTGGTCTTCAGAAGCCACATTTCCACTGTAGGTCTGTTTAAACCTCCAACTGCACAGTGTCTGAGGAATGGGGTTAAACTGGAACAATTAAGCTTCAACTGGACAGATTAAGAACAATTTTAAAAAATAGAAGTAGGCCATTCCACCCATTTAAGCTTGATCAGCTCATTGATCCAATGTTCTCAATCCAGCTGCTGAGGGAGGCCAGGGTATCAGTACTGGCTTTAAAAACCTGGGTGTTACTTTAATGGAGTATTGCACAGATTCTCCCCAGTGAAGAATCCCCTGAGCTCAGCTCTCCCAGTTCAAACCACAAGACAGAAAAAGGCCTCAGTCCTACCTGCCCCTGCACGGCGTCGTCACTGGCATCCTGCTCCGAGGAGAAGCTCTCATACTCTTCCTCAGAGTAATTGTCTAGAAACAATTCAAACATCACCTAGTCAGGCATTTTTTAAATAAAAGTCTCCAGCGAGCTGCTTTTCCTCAAAACCTGCTTGCACCTCGCTGCAGGGGAATATAAACCCTCTGAGTTGTCAGTCATCGTTCCAGCTCAGAGATGTTCCTCACTGGCACATTCATCCAATTTCTAACCACTTCATCCATTACAAGGTCACGGGGAGCAGGTTCCCAGTCCATCACAAGGAACACACAAACATAGGCACCCACACGCTCACACCAGGGGCAATTTTCCAAGAAGCTAATTAACCTACCAGCATGTTTTTGGACTGTGAGTGGAAACTGGAGCATCCAGAGGAAACCCACGCAAAAACCGGGAAAACATACAAACTCCACACAGCCAGTTTCCCAGATCCAGAACTGAAACTAGGGCCCCATCGGCACAAGGCAGTAATGCTGACCACTCTGTCACCGCGCTGTCCTCGTTGTTTCCAATGGATATTTAATAAAGACATTTATTGGACATTTTTGTATTTAATCAATACTCAAGCATCGAAAAGCTTCAGTGCTTTTAGCATTTCTAATAAAAAAGGACTTTAATTCTGTATAATAAGAAAGAGATGCATCTCTACACAAAAGGAAATTAAAGGAGATTAAAGAATTGAAAAATCCATGAAAAGGAAATGCAGTGAGTGAAGTTCAACTGAAAATATTTGCTTTTCTCCAGGGAGAAAGGAGCAGAGCAATTAAAAATTGAAAGGTTCTTAGGTCTGGAATCCAAACCTTCATAGCCGGAACAAGAATTAAAAAGGGATATTTAGAAAAAAAGAGTGTATATTTTCAAAGGCAACTACTGAGCTGGATCTCCTGCATACCTACACTGGTCAATATTTAAATACCGGTTCTGCAGGTATAAACTGAGATGTGAACTCCAGAGTCTTAAATCTCAAGTTGCATCACTCTGGCTTTCCTATATTCACCCTATAGTTTGATTGGCAGCTGGAATGAGGTGTTGGTGAAAAATGCTTGCCACATCCCACCATAGTCCTGGAGTACTGGAGAGTCCTGGTCCAGTTAGTACAAGGATCTCCAGCTCTGGTTCAGGAGATCCCTGGAGAGTTAATACAAGGGTCTCCAAGCCCTCTCCTGGAGAGCCCCAATCTAGTTAATCTCATAGGTCTCCTCTTTTTAAATACATATATTTAAATTGTACTTTAAATCACCTGGTAAATTGTTTTACATCTTTAGAAAGTGGCAATTTAATGGTGACCTGCAGGAATTGTGCTCTCCAGGGTGCAATATACTGAGAATAAAATTTTAAGTTTACAGCACTTTAGAATACTTGGGAATGAAAAACATTAAAGAATCCAAATAATTATTTTTATTAAATGACTGTCTCATGTGGGCAATATTTCATGCCAAATGAATAATCATAGTGGTTCTGGGCATGTTTTCTAAGAAGTTGCTTTCTGTGGACTCTTCTGTGGACCTCTGTACTGATGTACTGATACACTGTGGCTGTTTTTACTTTTCCCCTGCCCTGCTCCAGGTGCCATACCTGTGGACTTGATTTTCTGTCCGCTCTGCAGTGAGCCGTCCTCGTGGTCGATGGGCTGGCTGGACAGGGAGAAGATCCAGATTTCAGCCACCTTGGCGGCCGTGTCCTTCAGGTTGCTGCAGAGTGGGAGAACCTGGCCTCCTTCGGTGGGGTGCTGCATCACCTGGGCAGACAGAACGCAGGCCTACAGCAAGCACACCAGGGGGGCTCTTGGGCTAATGCTTGTGAGGACTGGGCCCATAACTGTGCAGCTCGAATCATGACTGCTTTCTCTTGCTGCCCAGCTGTTGTCATCTACAGTATGTTACATGGTCAATTTACTTAAATTACATAAACAATGAAAAACAAGACCAAAGGACAGATGTAGTAAACTTTATTCCTGCTGGCAAAGGACTTAAAAGCTTCTGCTTTTTCAAGACCCTGTATCTGAAATTTAATAACCCTGAATTATGGATTCCCTTTACTGCTGTAGTGTTCTTTTCCTGTAAAACTCTTCCTGTAAAAAATCAAAAGATAGACCAAACCTTATTCTCAGTTTAAAAGAGATCTGATCTATGTTTCTTGTTTTATTTAAATAGGGAATTAATTTACCGGTTGTACATTTACTGCAAGAAGAGCAACCCTTCTATCACCTAAAAGACACAAAACTAAATTCAGTCAATGTCCTCACCAATATACAACAGAATCAATGCATTTTCAAGATGTGTACACATAACACATGCAGAAATTCACTGACACTGTTGTTTCCACTCCAGGTGGTGTAACATGCCAGAGCACCTGATCATATTAAGGATATTACTTTTTTAAAAATTTAGTCATGTACCTAAACAATGGATGTTAACCTAGGGCTTCTAAATTTCTAAATCACAGAAATCCAAGAAGTGAAACCAAGGGGAGTGAAGAATGTCTACCAAACTGTACTGAAAACACTTCATCCATCCCCTTTCATCCAGCGATTTCTTGAAAGAAGCCAGGGTATCGACTTTAACAACACTGCTGAGCAGCTTGTCCTATACTCCCACAACTTTTTAGGGAGAGACATTTTAAATGCATTTGCACTTAGTTTCCAAATTCCATGATGGAGATCCACCCCTGAGAACTGTGATTTCTACATACAGAGAAAAGCACATGTGGACAAGGATTCTAAACTGACATGTCATAGTCTATCATCCAAAAGATGACCACTCAAGTAGCTGCAAGTTGAGGGAACCCACTCAACCTGCTGACTTCACAAAATCACTAGCTGGGATTTTCCAGGTTAAAAGGCACTATAGAATTGCTCTCTTGGCTTCCTTCTGCTTAGTCAAACTTCAGACAGCAGACACTAAAAGCGTGCCTTAAACTTTTGTCCAGGAGACTTAATCGGGAGCCTTGTGTAAAACAGATTTCTACCCAAGGTCCTTCCTACAGCAAGACTTTGTGACCACGTAGCCAGCCGGAAGTCCACTTGACTGCCAAAGTCAATACAATTGGGTTTTCATTGACATGCTTGAATATAATAATATGCAGACGTAGACACCACGCTGGAAGCAAACAGTTTCTCCCCACCAGCTGACTCACCTGGATGGGAGTCAACCTTGAACTTTAAAAACTAGCACAGCTTAATGTTATTGTAGAGGTCCTCCCCCAAAAACTGAATGCCATCATAAAGTTACAGTAAGATTCTCTCGCTCCCACTTCTTGTCAGATGGTACAAAGGGACAGGTTTGGCATTGGGCAAACAGAAACTGAACTGCGCGTCGCTTCGACAAATACCATCAGCTGTCTCTCTCCCCTTTGAGTTATGAATCCTCTGCTGTTGTATTCAGCAATCAATCGAGAATTAACTTATCTTAAACAAGTTTTGACCATTTCATTCATATAAGTAAAAGTATTTACTTATCTTTGAGTATCCAGATGTTCAGCAGTTGTATGAGACAGACTAATGAGATGTTATAATCAATGTTTAATCATTATTGCATCTCTTGTTAATCCTAATATTTTTGTATCTTGATAACCCTCAAGTAAATGATCAGCCAGTTTTTCTAGGCAGGTTGTTTCAAATAATATCACATTTGTTAGGTTTCTAAGCATGTTGCTTGTATCAATAAACATTGTGTATAAGTAGACTGTTTATTGTTCTGTTGATTGATTTCTAATTGCCAATAAAAAGCTCAAGCAATTTACTGTTACAATTAATTAATTGTTCCACTAAATTCCCACAGCCCTACAGTACTGTGTACAATACTACAATATTGAAAAAGAAACATTATCCAGCAGAAAAGTAAGCTAAACAACACCCAACATCTTTGCTTTTCCAATTTTGTCCTGATGCAACTGATTCCAGGACATTAGCTGAAATGAGTGACAACACTCAGCCAGGTCCTCTCACAAGGTAGAAACAAAACATGATGAGGTAAAAAATAAAAAAAACTTGTGGGACTTTGACAGACACAATGGCCTCTTCCCAGAACAAAGACGGATGCTGAGTTAGAGTATGGCATTCCAAGAATGTGTGAACTGAGACATTTAGACCTCTTGGAAAAGAAGATGATGGTAAGATTAGTAGGATTTTAAGGATTTTATCACACATTCAGACCAGCTGATGAAAACACAAAAATCTGCAATCCCCATCAATGCCTTTGCACCTATTATCTGCAACATCAAACATAAAGAATACCAACTTCAGACTTTCTATACAGCTCAAGAAATGAATAGTCCATGGGCAACATTGTGACTGAGATCACTTTGTCTAAATCTGACTGTGGATTACTGATGATAGACCACAATGTGGTATGATGGCACCTGCTGTCAGCTGTCTAAGCCAGTCCCACTCCATGACAAGGTAATATCCAACTGCTCACTCACGCCTACAGAAGAGTAGCGTTAACTAGACAGAAAAAATTCAACCATTATACAAAATTTGTGGTGTGACAGTACTCACACATCAGCACCAGATGTGAAGAAGTGATTTCTCACTTCTCCACCTTATCCATTGTGCAGTGAGACTGCTGGAGCAGAAGAGCTGCTATGTGTCACCCAGATGAGGGCTGTATGTCAGTGATAGATGATTACTCACCTCCAATATACTGTATAAAGCACTTTTAGATCGAATAAATGCTACACAAAGGGCAATGAATTAGCATACTAAAATGGAAACAGGCATAACACACATAAACCCTGGAAACAGGGTTATGATTTATACATAAAAGAAATCTACTACACTACTTTTGTTATTTTCTACACCACCTTTTCTGAATATTGCTGTTTTTCATCAAGGTCGAATTGGTTAATTTTAACACCTATTGTTTGGGTCTCTCTTGATTATCTTCAAGATTGATTATCATTCATTTGGAAAATCCATACAATAAAGGAATAAGGTTTTAATTTGTTGCCTGCTACTCCTTCTCAGACAGGAGCACCATGCACAGCTGGTGCATCACCACTGAGGTGCCATGTACTGTAGGCATTCATTTACTGTATCAGCTGGACAACACAAATCTCAAAATGTCATGGTGACAGTTCTGCCACCACTCTCCCTGCCTATCTCATTTGTCTTCTAGAAAGTGACATATATGAGGGGCATTTCACCTAACAAGCACTAGTATTTTAGGATTTACAGAGCCTTCTTCAGCAACAGGAATAGCATTCTCCACCATATAAGTATACAGTAGGTGGTGTGAAACTTATCCCATTGAAATAACTTTTACAATGCACTGAATTTGGCTGACTTGTATCTTCCTAATTTCTGCCCCCATGAAAGTCATAACAGGACTCGTTAAATCCCAATCCTAGGGTACAAAAATGCAACAGTGCCCTTACCTCTGCCATGTTGATGGAGCCCAGAGCCAGCGTCTTGTAGCCAAGGATTGTGCGGTTTTTGTACCTCTTGCGGCGCTGAAGCATGATCTGGAGTTTGTTGCCCTCGCGTTTCAGGAAGTGTGGGTACTGTGAAGGTCCAAACACAGACACACCATTTCCAGCTCAAGCTGAGCAACGTTGCTTTTAATTCATTCCCATCTGGCTGGCTGCCTCCTAACAACATGCTCTCATGACAAAAAGGAAGTGAAACTGTTCTCTTTTTTTCAGGCTCTGAATTTAATGAAGCTTTGATGCTGTTGCATGAGAAAGAGGGCAATCAATTTACATCTTAACAAGGTCCCTGTGCAAGTTTTAAAGCCATCTGTGAACTGAGTACATTATAATCAGTCCATTCCCCTGTTGGTCAAATGTGCAAATGTATTTATTTCTGCTCTTTTAAACAGGATTTTTAAATTCCTGCATTGATTTATCTAATTATTTTTGCCCGTTAAGGTCAGCGGAAAGATCTTAGAACTTATATTTCTGCTCTTTTTTCTACTACCTTTAATAAGAAATATAATTGGCTTTGTTGCTTTTAATTAAAGGTTGACTAACGTCGGCACGACCTAAAGAGAAAACCTGAAACGCTATTTCTATCTTCCTCAACTTAGACCTCATATTGTGTGCAACATTATTTTAATATCAGTGGGAAAAACTACAGATAGGTTAAAATATGTCATTTTACTTTACAAAGAAATAAAAAAGGGGGCTATTGGAGGTCAAATTAACTAATCAGCTTTTTTTCCCTACTTTCCTCTTTAGACAACCAGCATACAAAATGGGAAGGACTCTGTATAATCTCAGCCCATCTCTGTATTTAAATGCATTGGACTGTATTTTCTTCAAAGAATGTCTGATGTTCTTGAACATCTGTGCAAAACCCCCAAAGACTTTCCTAATTTATTTTAAAGACAATGGAGTAAGAAACTGGCACACCATTTACCTGCAGTGAGAACGTCAGAGCCAGGTCAGTCTCTACAACACCATTAGGGGGCAGCACAATCTCATGAGACCTTAAGACTCTCTTGGATCCCTGTTTAGGAAGCAAAAAGTTTCAAATGCAGTAATGCAGTACAGCTGACTGTGTGACCTCACCACTGAACTCTGCAGTATGTAGAAGACAAGGAGATGTCCAAAAGAGATGGGCACTTAGGCTGGAGCCATAGAATTTTCAACCGAGTTCCAAATAAGTAGTAGTAAAACTGAACCTGGAGACCTCAGGGAAAACAGGAGGAGTTTAAAAACATTTTAATAAAGATATTTCCAAAATGTACTGATTTTTTTTTTGATCAGAAAGACAATAGCCCTCAAAACTGGCATAGTAACCTTTTCAACCCGCTCCAATCTGGTTTCCAACAACTTCACAGCACAGAAACTGCCCTGGTTAAAGTCGCCAACTAACAGCATTTGATTCTGGTTCTCTTTCTAATTCCATTCTTCTTGATCTCAGTACTGCTTTTTGAGTATCCGACGGTATACATGACGGTAGCATGGCTAGGCACAACAGTACCTGTCTAAGCTACTATCATCCTCCCCACCTCGCAACCTTCGCTCTTCTAATTCTGGTTTCCTGTCTGTCCCCCAAGACCATCTACACTCTATGGGTGATAGGGCCTTCTCCTGTTATGCTCCAAAGCTCTGGAACTCTCTCCCCAACGATATCAGAGAGTCACCTTCTCTTAACTCCTTAAAATCTAGACTCAAAACCTTCTTCTTTAGAAGAGCATTTACTTAACTAGTTCTGTTCTTTACCCCTCTGCTCCTACTGTATTCAGTACCCACATCTACTGTCTCTTCTCATTGTGTATTCTCATTGTGCATGTGTTGTACTTTTATTGTTGTTATTGTGTAAAGTGCTTTGAAAAGCCACCTTTAAAGGTGCTATATAAAATAAAGTTTATTATTATTATAGGAAAACTTTCCCCACCTGGGAAGGAAATTGATGATAACAATCCCAAACCTGGCTCTGAATCTGAAGGGCCACACTTCTGCTGGTTTTTGTTTCACCCAAGCTCAAAGTTACAAACTGCACACTTAATAAAAGGATTTGTTGAAAATGTTTGACTGTTGTGCAAGAGGTTGCTTTTAACTGTTGCGTTTCACAATTAACATAAAATCTCAAATTTTGAGTAGAAAAAAACACACATTAAGACAATTAGATAATCAGCAGGATTAAAAACAAACAGGTGTGTGGTTCTCTGGGACCAGCACTGTGAATCCCTGCAGTTTCCTACAGGTTGAGACACAGTGCATTTTTGGTACACATTTCCTTAAGAGCTAAATTATGACACACAGATGAAATGGATTTGTTGTATAATTCACTCCTAACCAATAACAACCTCTAGTGCATCTGTCGGTTATCAAAAAGCAGTTTATTCCTGGTGAGTTTAATGGCCACTCCATGGCCACAGCAATACTAGCAATACTAGATTCACAAGGCGCAAGGCGCAAGGTGAGACCCTACAACCCACAGAAAGTTAAACCATCACGGGGTGCACAGATGTGCACACAGGGAGAATTCAGGGACACCAATTCATTAGTGTCCAGAAGGTGAAAGAAAACTGGAGCACCCAGCAAACACCCACAGAAAAACAAATATTGAAGAGCGCACAAACGTCTCAGCTGAAGGTGCAGAACCCAGGCCCCAAGAGATATGAAGCACTGGCTCTACTGACCATGTCTTGATATTTCTAAATCGATACATCTGACACACTGAGATTGAGGGAGCAGTCTTTACATGTTACAAGTCAATGTGGACAAACAGCTATTGTATAAAATGCTAGGCAGTGCATGAAACACTATATGTTTTTGTTTTCACTCCAGTGTCAAGTGAAATAAAATGCTATTCCCAAACCATTACTTCTGAAGCAATTTTGTAGTTATCAAAATCCCACTACATAATCAAACCTTGTATTTTTTTCACATTTTATTGTGTTACAATATGGAATCCCATTGCATTTTTACTGGTATTTTTAGTCAATTACAGACATAAAACACACTATAGTATCAATATAGTATCAATGTGAAAACAAAATTCTACAGATCCTCCTAAAATAAAAGTATAAAACATGAAATAACTGATTGCATAAGTATTCACTTGAGTCAATATTTGGAAGTGGGAAATTTGCACGATGTCCAATCACATTCTGACAACTACATCACATGAACATTTAAAAAACAGTGCCATTTCTCTTAGCAAGAACTATTGATAGGTAAATCTAAAAATACATGCACAAGGTATTAGGGCTAGAAATTGCTCATTTGAAAAGGGATTTGCATAAGCTCTATTGGATACACATACATAAATGGGAACTACTGTACTTAAAGATGCATCACTCTTCCTTAGACGCATTAAACTTCCACTATCTAACCCACTAGTTTCTATGGAGTATATTCAATCCATGAATATTTAGTTTTATCTTGCTGAAGAGTACTGTGAAGAATAATATGTTCCTGTGAACTAAGCAGTGTCCTGTATGGGGAAACCTACCACCACCAAAGTATGAACTGCTAAATGTGCACAAGGCTGAAGAGTGAAACCAGTCTTCTGTAAAATTAGGCTCATGGAATGGTTTACGGAAATGAACTCTTCTGCAACTCAAAGCCTGGTACCCACCATAGCTTACGTGACATATACCAGGGCACTGATCAGACACTACCCAGATCTTGCGGTTTGGAATCTGCTATCTACTGGCAGATCACACTGCTAGGCAGTTGCTCTAGCATTGTCTGTAGATTGCGAGCTGTATGACAGTATGACATGCAGTTATCTATGTGGGATATGCCTCAGGGGTCTTTAATTTTTAAATGGCCAGACATTATGTGCAAACCTTTAGAAAATAAAAAGTCTTAAGACTAACATGTTTTGCCAAATGTCTCCTGCGGACATAAATGTCTCAGCGCATCACAGTTTCCGATAGTAAAGCTGATACAGGAGTCCATGCCAGGACCTCAGCTTGTGCATTCCACTCATCTCGCCTGTGACTGCCATCGCCCTGGCCTTGTGAAACTAAACCCAGCAGCCATCACCCTTAGTATTGGGGCCTCTATGCTTTTTTCTGAGGAGCACTGAGCTGTAAACCAGAAAACTTTCTCTGTAGATGTCATTTTAAAACTTGCAATAAATTCTAAGCATAGGAAGAAATTAATCTCTGCAATAAGATCATCCTCTTATGAATGTATTGGGCAAGGGCGGAAGGTCTCTGCAGTGGAGACGGGGGAGGGGTGGAGGAGATTTGGGCGTACCTGGATTTTGACAGCAATGACCACCGAAATCAGCTCCTTGTCCAGCTCCTTCATGACCACCAGTTTCTTCAATGTCAGGCTGCACAACCTGCGGACAGAAAAAAGCCTTAAGGTAAGAGATGTAGATTTTCAGTCAATTCGAGGTAGCAGCAAAAAAAAACTTACAATTCACTTAGTGCTGCTACATGTGCCACATTTGCAACAGAAAAAGCTTAATGCAATTTGAATTGTGTGGGAGTTGCCTGGTCCAGTGGAGAAAATGAGCTCATTAGCTAGGAGGCTCCAGATTCACACACCCCAGATCTGCCACATAATCACTGGGATGTCACCCAGAGCAAATGAGCCGTCTTTGTGCTCCATCAAGCAAAAATGACAACCTGGTCATTAAAGATTTCAGGGCACTGTGAGAGGAGGAGAATTATCCCTGGTGTCCAGGCTAAATTCCCCTTTTCAAACGCATAGTCCGGCCTCATTTACATTTCTTCCTCAACTCAACTGGAGAGAGAGATGCACCTGAGCTGCAGCACAGTGGGGCTACTGGCCCATGACAGCTGCTGCCTGTCACCTAGGTGGGGGCTCAAGAAAGCTGTGTCCTCCAATAAAGTAAAGCACTTTGGATCCTTTAAAACTTCTACATAAATACAAATAATTATTTTGAGTAGAAGCATTAGATTAAACATACCATTCACTACAGGTCATGTTGAATAACTGTGTCTGATATATTAAACTTGTTTCAGCAGTTGCTGTAGCATTGGAATTGTATTGGAAAGACAGGGGCTGGCAGGGAATCACCTGAGCATGAATCAGGGAGTGAAAACTCTATAAATTACTTGATACGGGTTCCCGGATTTGATTTCTACCCCCCCTGTGAGTCCCCAGTAAAATTTGCTAATTTCTTGAATTTTTCATTGAAGCTATTAAATTCTAGGCATTGTATAACAAATACTATGCTAAATAATTCTGTACAGAACAGGCTATTCAGCCATCTAGCACCTTTGGTAATTGATCCCAGGTATTTCTTGAAAGAAGCCAGTGTATCAGCTTCAATGACATGGCTACGCAGTTTGTTCCACACTCCTACATTACTTTGAGTAAAGAAGTGCCACCAGCTCTTGGTTTCAAATGCACTTTTACATAGTGAATTTGAAACCAAGAGCTGGTGGCACTTCTTTACTTTTTTTCCCACTTATATCCTCCGCATTATGTTTCACTGTCCATTCTGGAAAAAAAAAATTGAGTTGACTTTGTTAATACCTTTGAGGAATTGGAATTTGAATATCTGTTCCAAATCAAGTATTTGAGAAGTCCTGTTGGGTCTTCTCTGCTGAAGAGCAAAAAGGTTCAGTTCCTCTAGCCTGTTAGTGCAGGTGATTCCTTTAAACTCCAGTATGGAGCTGGTTGCTGTTCTCTGGACTGATTCTAGAGCATTAATATCATGGTCAGCAAGAGTGTACACATTATTCTTACTAAAGTGTTTTCACCTACTGGTGGTAGCCAGACCTCCTATTTTGTGAAATCAGGGCATAGGAAACTGCAACAGTCACTGAAAAAGCATAGATATGTATACTTAACTGTTTAAAAATAGAGACAGTTTGCCCTAGCAGGAAGAAGATAAAACTGGGTTTCATTTTTAAATGTTGCCCATTTGTACACGAATGTTAATATATTACGCGATGTCAATCAGGGTATTACCGTAAGGTTATTCTCTGGTCAGTGTAGTAATACTTAACACTCCAGATCTCCATGTCCCTGTCACAGATAGAACAAAGTGGGGCTGCACTATGGACTGGATGGCAGTCCATCATAGAGCACACACACACACACACACACACACACACACGAACTATTTGAACAATTTATAGAAAGCAGTAAGCCAAGGTAGCATACAGTATGTTTGGAAGGTGAGAGGAAACCAGAGCACCCGGAGAAAACCTATGCAGACATGGGGTAGATTGTGTAAACTCCACACAGAAGTTACCCCAAGCCTGGAATCCCTCCCAAAATCCTATTTCTGCCCACCTCCCACACACACACATACATCACCTTTCTGTCAACGGAGAACAGGTGTAGGACCAGAGAGGAGCCATGACACAGGTAACCAGATAACAATACTTCAGAGTGAACAACTTTCCAAACATTTTGCACACTACCCAATATCAGAATAAACAATGCTCACCTCACATAAGCTATAAACCTAAATGATACTTAGTCCATGTGAGTTTCCCTATGGCAGTGAAAATTTTACACTGAACCATGCTGATACCAAACTGACTCATGACTTACTGACAAGGCCAGATACCATGGCCTTATCCAGAAGTTTGTGACAACAGAGAAATGCACCACCCCAGGGAAAATACTCTGACAAAAACATACAGGGCATGAATGAATCAGAGGAAGAGATGCTGCACTGAATTATAAAACAGTGACTGAAAAATAGGCTAGACTTTACAAATTTAAAAGAACCTGATTGAAGACATTAAAACAGTTTTCTAAAATAGTTTAGGAGGATCTTTTCAACCACACTATAGTAGCAGCCCCCAGATTCAGTCAGTCTGAATTCGGCACTTCTCCAGAGATGCAAATTCAAAAAGATAATTCTTGCAGAAAAGGAACAATTCATTGAACACAAAGGCTTTGAATCTCCCACAAAGATGGAGGAATTAGAGCGAACCCTGCCAATGAGAGGGAAGAGAAGGAGTGCTTTTTAAAGCCAGCCCAGGCAAGGGAAGTAGCAAACTGGCTATTGAAGCTCTACCCTCTTTAACAGCTTCAGTTCCTAATGCAGCCTGATGCTTACCAAGGTTGCCGAGCTAAATCCTTTTTTGGAGAGGTCCTCTAGCAATGCCACTGAAGGAGAAAAAAAAAAGACAAAATGCAGCCATTGCTTTGTGGAGTGTCACATTGTTAGAACTGGAGGTGGTTTTAATAAGCCTGTCACGCTTTTGAGATGGGTTTGCACTCGAAATGTTTCGAGGTTCTTTTTTTAAAAAAAAAAACCTCAATGCCCCTGACAAATGGTTCCCACAAGAAAAGCTGCCTAGACAAGTAGTACGACGCCCCCCTTGAAACAGGACCTACTGAGGAGGCCTTAAAAATGTGGCAGGAAGTGAATGAGTTTGGAGTTTTCTAAGAAACACTGAAAATCTACATTGCTCCACTTGAATCCAACAGCACATCAGACGTTTTTTTGGCAATGAGAAAAAAAAATCCTTCCATCAACATTAATGTATCTTATCTTAAAGTTGTAAGGCAACTTTAGCATTAGAACTTCAATATTGTACGTTTTTAAACACATTTAAAATAAATAAAAAATACCTGATCTCTCATTAAAGCCTTGTTTACACCAAATCATCTTTCCCCCCCATCTCTGACACCACAATGGGTGTTAAATTTGTAGTCGGCAAGTGAGTTGGATCTATGGATCTAGCCATTACTACACCCTCCAAGGGACTGGAAATAATCTGATATTCCACATTCTATAGGAATTTCAGTCCTGAAATGTATAGGATCAGAGATACTATACACATTCTCCTTCAATTACTACCCATTCAACTTAATCCAGCTCACCTGTGTCTAATCTTTCAACTACAGAAGCTGACCATTTTGAGAGGAACAGGAACAAGACCAGCATTACCGAGTTGAAGGTTTTGAAACCAATACAGCTCTGACCAAGTTATATCAATTTGCAAATAAAAAGAATATATACAAAAAACATCCATCCATTTTCTAACCACTTTATCCAATACAGGTCACAGGCAAGCTGGAGTAAGTAATGTGTACCTGGCAGGGAACGACCTGGATGGGATGCCAGTCCATCACAGGAAAGACAGAAACAAACAGGCACAGATTCATACCAGGGGCTATTTTTCCAGAAGTATTCTGGTTGTTTGGTAACCTATATCCAGGTGGGTTAAAATCAGTAGTTTTAACCTACCAATATATTTTTGGACTGTGGGAAGAAACCAGAGGACCCAGAGAAAACCTCAAAGAAAATACAAACTCCACAGATAGCAACCCAGGTCTAGAATCAAAGAGGCAGCAATGCCAATCACAGCACCACCTTACCAGCCTCTTGAAAGACCATAACTTGCAAAACGCATCTGAATCTTGAATCTGGCTGCTCAAGTTAGTTAGACTTCCCACTCGGTTAGCCAGCATCAGCAAATTATTTTTGGTATAAGGCCTTCCCTTCTCTGGGCCTGTATTCTAGGACTCCAAAGTTTAAGAAGCTCAAAAAATATCTCCTGCCTTCTGACACACTTTTAAAACATATAAAAATGTCAAGTGCAAGTTTAAGAATCGTGCTTGATAAAGGAATGTTTTCATCAAGTGCATGTCTTTAGGAATTCAAAGCCCAACAGACAAACCACAGTCAAGGGCCACACGGTCCTTATTCTTGTTTGTAACAATGGTCTTTTCATTTTCTGATTCTTTTATATTCCGATCTCATTTTTCGCCAGATCAATGTGCATTGTGATCACAGACCAGTAAATGACCTCCTTCACCCCACCCCGTCCCTGACTACGCACAAACACATTTCAGATCTTTGCCCCAACAGAAGGAAATGTTTATGAGAACCACACACGGCGGTGAACACACTTCAATAATTCCATAATATGACAATGGAACATTTGTGAGAAGATCCAAATTCACAGAAACTACATTGAAACCACGGTGGCACACTGGCATAGCGGTTAGCATTTCTGCCACACTGCACTGGGGCCCTGGGGTGCTACAGCATCTGTGTGGAGTTTGTACATTCTCCAAGTGTTCGTGTGGGTTTCTCCCGGCTGGTACCGTTCCCTCCCACAGTCCAAAGACATGATGGTAGGTTAACTGGCTTCTGTAAAGCTGGCATTAGTCTGAGTGTGTGCATGTTTCTGAGTGTGCCCTGCGATGGGCTGTTGTCCCCTGTAGGATGCAGCCTGCCTTGCATTTGTTGCTTGCCGGGTTAGGTTCCAGCTCCCTCCACAAACCTATACTGGATGAAGCAGTTTAGATAATGGATGGATGGACACCGAAGCCATAAGAAACCAACAAAAGTTACACAAGTGCAAGTATGTCAGAAGAAAAAAAAAGCACACCTTT